ACTAGTTATATATGTTTCAAAGACTAAACTAGATAATCGAAAACCCCTTTGGGGAACATCTTTCCTTATTTGATATTTAGTCGGATAGTTACAAATATTGAGCACTGAGTAAACGATTGACAGTAAATATAGTTTGTATTTGTTTAAGTTACACCATGTTTGAAACAGAATGATTCCAATGTTTTATGTGAGAGTCTGACCAGCTATTTTTCAGGGGAATAATAGAAAATTAAACTACAAACATACATAAATGAGTCTAAAGACCTACACTTAATCACCTTTTCCAATCTTCTTCGTATAGTCATTATGTTTCCAAAATTGATTATTATTTATCATATTGATTAAGTGAAATGGTCATAGCTAAATAGGCTTGGATTATTCATAATGGGTGATGATTGGAGGTGAAATGAAAGTTTGAGTCAATGCAGATTTGGAACCAAAGACCACTAGAAGTTCGACCTACTGTTTTTACAACAACTGAGCTACGAAATCTGCCTGCTGACCAGTAAGGTTGAATCCTTATAGTCATTATCTCACTTTTCCACTGTACAACAAGTTAAGTCTGTAGACGGATGATTCTAACTAACAATGCATACAAATATGCTAAATATATGTACAAGTATGAAGTTAGTATTTATTTAGTGTAGTGTATAATATAATAACAATAATGTTTAGCTTATCATACAACTCACTTATACATTATGAGTAAGTAGATGATGAAATACCTTTATTGAATGAAAATCAAGGTGAAGAGTAGAAGTAAAATAGATAATTATCTTGTATAAAGTGAGAAATTCATTTCTATACTCTACGTTTATTTTGAGATAAAATTGATACCCAACAGTAGTATACTATTTAAATGATAAACTGTACTCTTGTATCATTTATGCCTTATTTATACAACATGAAATAATCTTAACAGAAATAGAATGAACTTCATTCGAAGTGGTCTAATTTCAACTCTGTCCTCTCTCTCTCTCTCTCTCTCCTATTTCCTCTTTGAAATGTTTACACTTCAAGTTTTATTATTGTTATCTCTTGAACTGTAGACTGTTTGCTTAAAATTTTAATTACAAGTTATGAATATAAAATTGTATTTATCAAAATGAGTTCCAGATAATTTCCGAGATATATTTGTAGAATAACCCGTTTTAGTAATCCTTGCACTTTGATTAGATTGAAAAAAAGAAACAATCAGAAAAGGATTTAATCCGAGATTTTTAGAAAAAAATATGTACACTAGAATCCATTGAGTAAGATACTCAAAATGAATATGCATAATATACACTGAGGAGTCTGGTTTAAGTAGAAATAAGAATATGGTAGAGATTCGTTGGAAGAATGATAGTCTACTCAATTATTCTTACTTCATTTCCATGTTGATTTTCAACCATAGGTTAATCAATTCTGTGCTGCCTATTTCTAACTTCTAAGTGAATTTTAAGCTGATGAATTTTACAAGTCAAGAGATCTACATCTCTAATGATATTTGATTATTATTCAGTGATGGAAAGTATCCATTAAGTGATAGTGGACATGACACTGATCAGCAAGGTTCATATAAAATGTAGAAGATAATACGGTTACTTCTAAATGTTGAAATCATATCCATGCAACACTGTAATCAGAGGAATTACTCCTGCAATCTCAACTGCTTATATAAATCGATTAGGTTCATTGAGTTAGAAATGGAAAGTAGTTAGTATCATGTTGTATGGTATAAACATCACCTTCTAAGAGTTGACATGTCTATTGAAAGTTACAGATACTTCTTGTCGGCCAACTTGAACAAGTGGAAACCTCACTATGAGGTTTTAATTTCCGACTGATACTTGACTGGGTACTCGACATTTTCATTAACTCGTTTACTTGGAAAATCATTTTGAAAACTCTACACATACAAATATTGTCAACCAAATAGGAATAACTTTTGAAATTATAAAACATTTTCTTCACAATTTTTCATTGTCTTCTGAGTATTGTATTAACAAATTGACAAATAAAAAGGTAAACCATCAAACCATAGTGCAATATATTACCAGGCTAACAGAGGTTACCAATAACTGGCCATATACCTAGACATAATAATAATCGTAGACAAGACGTATTTACAATTAAGTGATAAAACTTATTATCTAGATGGTGAAAAGTGTTTTATGTGAGCATCATGAGAACAGCTGATAAGTTTCCTGAATACCAGTTAATTCGACTTTTAATAAAGAATCCTTTTTCAGTTAATAAGTATTATTACAAGCTTTAATTAATCAGTTTCTTTGTGACTAAACAACATTTATGTCGACCAGTTAAAGTCTGTCACTGAATGTTGATTTCTACATGTTCAGCATAAAAAAATTTCAATGAAATTTTTAAAAGAAAATCTGTTTGTGTATACAACTGTTTTGCAACTACTTGAACAATGGCAAAATTGTACTGGCTATTTTTATAGTTGACAGACTTGTCAATAAAAATAAGTAGAATAATGTCCACTGGAGTAGAGATTTTACAAACAACGAGACCAGTGAAAGTAAATATATCACAGACTTCATAATAAGCAATTTAACAACTGATAAACCTGTAGTTGTGATTAGTTGTAGGCAAACCCTACGCTTATCAAGAATACTGCTGAAAACCGAAATACGAGAAGATTGGTGGATAAAAATAGAGTTTTTTAAACCCCTTAGATTGAAGCTTACAACTATACTGAAGGAATGACTTCTCCGAAATCTAAACCTGAAGAGATGAATCTACCGCTTATCTTCTGACAACAGTTTTGGACCTAGTTTGGATGAGCAGTTCCCCCTTCAACTTTAACAACCTTATCCTTTATCCCTTACACATTTTCTAACGACCTGAAGGACAAGTTATTACAAATGATCACTTAAATGTGTATGTACCAGTTCACTTAATCTTGTGAAAGTGAGCATATTTTTAGTTAGATGTACACTCTTTCCCTATCAGGTAGAGAACATAATGTATCAGTGAATCTATAAGAAGTGTAGTTGTCCACCACGTCTTTTACAACCACTACAGTATCTCAGAAGATTCTTCATTGAAGGTCATTTACATGATGAAAGTAAATCAAGCAAAGATGATTCGTTTCTTACTCTTGTGTAGTATGCAAGTCTGTGTCATATCTATGAAGAAGCAGGAATTATTCACATTGAAAAAACTCCTTCAAAGTTTTGTTTGATATTAATCATAATCATAAAGTTTAAAAATCCATTTATCCCCATTTTATTTGAAATTCTCATTTTCATGTTTATTTGTTGTCTTCAGTAAACTTATCTTACTTATCTCCATTTTGCTTACATATATACTTCAGTTACTCTACATGATTGATTTTACTTACTGTTTATAATTTTCATGGCTTCGATTCACCTCTGTCTTTGTTAACATGGTCAGTAGAAGAAGAAAACATAACTTCTAACTGTAAACATTTGATAGACTGTAAACAGATTCATTTCTGTTTGTACAGCTGTTAACAATGAAGTCACTGAAGAAGGTGATTGTGGTTGAATTCCTTTCTTCCTTCAACCCACTGATGGATATATTCCATGAACTGAACAGATCAACAAATAAAAGTGGACAGTTATCAGTTCAATAACTGCTCCATACGTTTGTATAGATGAAACCTACTTCAGCTAATATTGTTCAATGAGGTAGACGGTGACTTGGTATGTATAACATATGTCTTAGGTAATTCAGTCGATGATGCTTCACAATCGTATCAACTGACTTTCTTCTCTTCTCTAAAAATCTACACCCGACTTCTACATTACTCATGTGATGATACCACAACATATGGCCTATGTTATGTGGGTAAAGGTGGTCAAATACCTGGACCCTTCTTATATGCTCTACCTTTTATAGCCTTAGTGCAAGTGAACACTAGAACGAAATAAATACTAGATCCAGTTTCTTTTTCTTTGGGACTAGGTTTACCATTAGTACTTTTGAAAAAAATTCTTCACATAGGTTGAAATGTTTCTCAGAACCTAGTTCTTTTCATGTGACTGGGTATACACTGAATGAAAAGGATGAGCAGTCCGAGAACGTTTTGTGACATTCATAGTTTGGGTTTGCAATTTTGGTTGCTGAGTAGTGTTTAAACTCTTCTGACATCAAAATGAAAACCATTCGGACAAGAACATAGTTTGCCATCTTTGACACCAAAATGTCATATGGTTACCCGGTTCGCTATCTACCTTATCTTCAAATCCATGTGATATTACCAGTGTTTCAACCAATGTCACTGTGCGACCGAGGAATCAAGTGGAGAATAACAGACTACATTACTTCTGATGCACATTTTATTCTGTTGTTCATCAGGAGAGTCTCGATATTATTACTATCAATAAAAAGTAGTTGAAACACTTTGCAGAATGTATTCTCGTCTAAAGGTTGAATGTGATGCCACGCATTACAACAAATGCAGGTCAGTTTCTTTCCAAAATGAAATTCCAGGGACAATCAGTCAGTCAGTCAGTCATGTACTGAATATTTACTGGCAACTGACAAATAAACCACCCTACCTTAAATGAATGGTATCCACTACATCATTTAACCTAGCTTAAGCTTCTATTCATTCAAAATGAAGTATGCAGATGCTTTCAAACAGTTTCATCTTTCTCTGAATAGTAGAAACAGCAATAAGTGCCATCTAGTTTAAACAGAGTCTTCTCATTGAAAAGATTTCCACTTAACAGCTGAAATCAATCAGAATACTTTGAAGAGAGATGTAAACAAATACAGAATATTGTCCCAGTTTTTGGTTAAGTGCAAAATATGTTGAACTTTGTTCGCGCTTGATCATCCTAAGATTTTATTATGTATTTTATTCATTCTCATTTACACCTTACTATATATATATATATATATATATATATATATATATATATATATATATATATATATATATATATATATACCAAAATCGAAGGCAAAATATAAGATTCCTGTCGAAGTAGAAATCATCTGTGGTTTGTATAGTTGTACACAGAATGTTGATGTCAATTACGATTTTCCTGACTTCACTTTTTATGTTTGTTGTGCAACAAGGAGCATCTTCACCAATATCCAGTGGTTTTGTAAGTTTTGTAAAAGTCTCAAATTTCTTTTTCATATAAGATGATTAGTGTCATTATGACCGGGTAATTGTAAAATGTTTATGCGAAATATCAATTATTAATAGGTATCATTTATCAATGATTAATTATGTGTTGATTGCCTTGACAGAAGAAGTCAGCCTGAAATTTTCTTTCTGATATTTTTGGATGAAATGTGGTAACATTTGTGAAGATGACTTGAAATCTATGAAAACTTTGGTTATATTTCATCCAAGTTGATTTTTGAACCAGTTAATCCGACCTATAAGTTAGATAAACACAGATTAGGTGTGAAGAAGATGGAAACAATCTAATAACACCCTTTGATATGTTCTGTGAAAGTAGAAGTGATCTACTATGAAAATGAAGACGAAATAAGCTCAACATAGTCGCTTAAATGCTTATATAACACATATATTTAACTCAAAGTGGAGAAGAGTAGGGTGTTTCCCCATTTATCATTTCTATTTAAACAAGGTCAGGATGATCAAATTGTTCTCAAAATAAAAACAAACAATTTGTAGTTATGGGAATAAGGTTGACAATCATTTTCGGCACACAGCAGCCTATATCGTATCATTAGCTGTAAAAGTATCTAAATGCTGACAAAGGAAACCTTACATCACGAAATGTAAGACTCTGCTGATACATATTATTCAAACCTTCTGCATTAATGTAGTTTTTTGACATCATGAACCCTTCTGCTTTGAAAACCAGTTTATGATTTTGAAGAGTCTACCTTTTAAGACTATGTTGTATTGATATACTTGTTTTTAGAGGTGATTTGTAGTGCAGGTAAGAGTATTTCTCAGAATTACAATTCCATTTACTAAGCTAATATAGAAGAAAGATAGGAAATAAAGATGAATAATTTGCTGCAAAATCTAATACTGTATTGTGTGACTCTGTAGCTACAAATGTTCTGCTTTTCAAAACTGTTTTCCATCTGGATGATATTCTGACACTCGACTAACTGTATACACTTCAAATATGTAGAACAGTGTGCAACACCTCATGCATGTGTATGCACATATAATGTAATCCAGATACATTAGGTGCTTATTCAACTACCACTAACAAACAAATGCAGGATTATACTGTCATGTATAATAGGATTGTATCTCAAAACTAAGCGTCATTACACCTTGATAAAAGTACGTATTCTGTGTATTCGCCTTGTTATTATAAAAATCTTTTCTTCAAGAGGATAATGTAACAGTAGCTAATTACAGTTTACACAATTGAAATGTTTTATGCAACCATATTTTAAAGTGGTTTATTTCAGATAAAGAGAAAAAAACAACGTTGATGTTGATGAGAAAGTGCTTCGAAAGCCATTTGAAAAGCAGGTTTATTTCTATACAAACCTAACTCATAAATATCTACCTGAACCACTGTCTAGTATGCATTATAATAAGAAATATCTGTTAGATGAACAAACATGAAATTATGTTCTACTGTAGTTTATTATACGTTCATTATTCCTATCGTGACATTGTGAACAAGATATTCAGCGAAGAGGACTCTTTTCAACGAATTTATTCTCAAACTGTACATTCGTATATATATGATATTTGAGGACTGTATTCCTTGAGGAAGATTTAACTGAAATAATGGCGGGTTGAAATAATAATAATGGTGGTGGTGATAATTATAATGTTGATAGTTGATGACGTGAAGGTCGAATGGTAACAAGAAGGGGTTATGTAAGATTTTCAAATTGTTTATAAAGTGCATATAGATTAAGAGGGGTGAGAATGTTAATAAACAATCAAAGGATTAAGTAATATAAATGAGACAAGTTATTTCTAATTATTTTCCTTTGGGTTCCTAATGGGACATGAAGCTTCAGTAGCACGTCTCCAATGCACTCTGTTCTCTGAAATCTTTTCAACCTGGCTCCACGACAGCCCACAACCTCTCATTTCCTCCTCGCATGATCTCCTCCATATCACACTTGGCACCGACGTCCAACTCGTCGTTTCCCATCTGGGTCCCACTCGAGTAACTGGCCTGACGCGTGATGTCCCCATTCGGCCTTCTCAATGTATACCCAATCCATCCCCACTTCTTTCTAGTGCATATTTGTTGAGCGATGGGTTCTTGATTGGTTCGTTTCCAGAGTTCCTTGTTGCTTATTCTTATCATTCTGGCAATCCATCTGATCTTCAGTAGCGAGACAAGTTTATTAGAGGAAATTGAAAGTGTTTTGTTAAAAGTTGTGATTATTAAGCAGATCAAATGAAATAATACCGGAAACAAATAAATACAAAAAACAGAGTGATAATGACGATATAAGAGTACCAAGGTTAATTTGACAAAAAAGAGGAAGCGGGTGAAAAACGATAAAAGGACGAAGCACACCAAGACTAAAATAAATTAAAGCTAAGGTGGATACAAAGATTGTACATACTTCTTTTGCACACAGAGGTGAGGCTTCAGTTCATGGATAGCAAGGGCCTCTACTGGTCACGTAGGAAATGTGAAGTGTTAGGACGAATTCGATAGTTTATTAGTTCTTTTATATCAACTTTCTGTAAAAGACACACATATCAGACAGGGAGGTGAATGAGTGAAATAAAGTTCATTGTCATCTGAATTCAGAAGGCCTTTTGACACACAGTTTTTTAACACCCTTAACCTTCCTCAATAAAAGCGATTTTTATCTGATTCATAGTTATTTCAGTTGCTAGCTGATATTTGTACGGAGAAGACAATGATACATAATTGAATAAAGGAATGTGTCTAGATATTAGGATATATATAGTCGACATTTTTCATTCAACCTACTTTCAGTTTATGTTATGATCATAAATTTCATGGAGAAACCAATGGTGATTTAAAAGAATTTTGGAGTCAGTAAACAGTTTTACAATACGCTAATTTCTGAGTGAAATAAGTCAAAGTGCGGACGTACAGTAAACAACAGACTAAATTATTTGTAAGTGGTTACCATGGGATAAAAATACTCAAAAAGCCAGATCAGTTTCATTCTAAGCATGAAACCAATCAGATGAAACTGGTTGACATACCAGCAACCAGTCCAGTTGTACAAAAGGTCAGTCAAGGTTCAAATAGCTTAGTGGTGATGTCTCTGACAGCAAGAACATCACTTCCTTTGAGGTTACAGAAATGCCTTTCTGATGAGTGCCAAATTGTGTGAAGTCCGTATGAACCAAGGCTTCCTTTCAACTGCCTCAAACTACGTAGTATCTATCAAAATCGACCTACAAGCTTGGCGGTTACACTGCAAAATGATCTATGGAATTCAATCAGCAGTGTGAACTAGACAACAGGAAATCTATTGCTTTCCAGTAACCAATCAACAAATAAATTACATTTCGATTTCGACTAGCAACCAAAAATCTTTTTCATATAACTAACTATTCTTTACACTATTTCATTTTACAGAGACGCGATGATATAAACGAAACTACTGGTATGTACTGTAACATACACTTTGATTATTTCATAACGATTACTATATTGTATATGCGAACAAAATTGTTGATAAATTGAACCCATTAATAAATCAAGCATGAATTAACTTACAAAAGTTCCACCTACAAGAAAATGCAAAGAAGCATATTTGATAACTTTCATTAACATCATAACTTCAAGCTGTAATAATGTTCATTGGATCACAGTGATCTGACGTCAATAACAGAAGAAGAATAACAAAGACCGAATTCTTTTCACATAATCCACAGAAGGGTTAAACAACATCCTGGCAACGCCTAGTTATTCCTTGTTAAATTTCTCCACCTACACATGGAACAAATTAGATGATGACCTAAAAACTACTGATTATTGTGGATTACCGCCTATCCTACTGTTATTAACAGGACTATTTAAGTGACATGGTTTTCAATTGAAAAATGTTGTATAAGAAGTGAATTTTTTGAAATACTACCCTCAGAGTACTAAACTGTACTTAAAACTATTATCTGCAGTTAAGTAATTGTTATTATTCTGGTCATTATTTTAACTGTATAGCCTTTGGTAGTTACCGAATATAATTGAACACTTTCGAATGAAATCTTACTTCTTCAACGTGCGTTTATTTGATGATGGCTGCCATCTGTATGTAAATCAATTTCGAAGTAAATCAATCTTATCACACCGATGACACCGAGAAAAATTTCATACAGATATTAATTGATTTAGTTATTATTATTATTATCTGTTCCTTGGGTTCCAAGTGGAACATACGACTTCAGTAGCACGTCTCCAGTGCACTCTCTTCTCTTCAATCTTTTTAACCTGGTGCCACCAGAGCCCAGAAACTGTCATTTCTTCCTCGCATGATCTCCTCCATGTCACCCTTGTCACCGACGGCCAACTCGTCGTTTCCCATTTGGATCCCACTCGAGAGTCTGTCCTGGTGCATGATGCCCCTAATCAGCCTTCTCAGTGTATGCTCAATCCATCTCCACTTCCTTACATTGCATGTTTGTTGAGGGATAGGTTTTTTGTTGGTTTGTTGCCAGCCGGAGTGAGTTCCTTGTTGCTTATTCTTTCTGGTCATCTGAGCTTCAGTAAGGAGCCAGCATAGGCGGCAATTGTTGACGAATGTCTGTAGTTTCTTGGAAATCCCTTTCGTAACGCGCCAAGTATCTCAACCATCACATAGAAGCACTGACTCGACCTTGGCGTTGAAAATCCGAATGTTGTTCACGCTTTATGCTGAGTGCAGTGTAGTAGATCTCCACACTGGTTTCAGGTTAATGAACGCCTGTCTTGCTTTTCCAATCCTGTCTGTGACTTCCTAGTCTGTGCCGCCACCTGTAGTTGAAACGATGCTGCCTAGATAGGTGAAGGAGGACACTACTTTTAAGTTTATCCCATTGATGGTGATTGCAGCTTGTTGTTGGTTAGTTCATTTAGTTAGTACTGAATAATTTCCATTCATGAAAAAATATCTCTTCATTCAAAAATATGATAAACAATTTTTTCTGTCATTTGTTAATAAATAAATCATGAAAGTTTTCTTTTAAATTTTCAGCTGAATGTGACGCATGTATGGCAGGTATGGATCTAGTTCATTACATCGTTTCCGATCAATACTGGGTCGAGACTTATGTCATTGTAGGAAGGGAATTGTGTGAGACTATCCCACCAGGAACATTTCAGAATGCTGTAAGCATTTCTTTTTCGTCATTATACTATAATTACGTTGGTAAATAAGAAGACCATTCAAGGAAATATTTTTGGCTGGATAGGGATAAGAGTAATTATCACTCCATATTGCAAACAACAAGTGTCATAATATATGGAAGTTTCAGTTGGTAATATTTCAATAAATACGCTCCGTGGGTATAATATTTTTAGAAGAAATAATTATTGTGTATGAATAGAGTTTAACCTTGCCTGGTTAACTACAGACATTCATCAACAGCTGCCACCTACACTCATTTGATACTGAAGATGAAATGAATGGCCAGAAAGAATAAGCAACAAGGGACTCTAGGAAGGAACCAACGAAGAACCTATCACCCAACAAATATGGAGAAAAAAGTGTAGATGGATTGGGCATACACTAAGAGGCCGGGTTGGGGACATTATGCGCCAGGACAGTGGAATCCAAATGGGAAACGACGAGTTGAGCTTTCTAGGTGAGGCTGACATGGAGGAGATCATGTGAGGAAGAAATGAAAGCTTGTGAGCAGTCTTGGCGCCAGGTTCAAAAGACTGCAGAGAACAGAGTGTGATGGAGACGTATTACAAAAGAAAACTAACAATCAACAAATTTAAAATGAAAGTAGTAATAAAGGTACGATCAGGAAATGGACAGGTGGTATTACATCAGCATCTGATCTGAACTCGGGAATAAATACTCAGTCGATTGTATCTTTCTGTGTCACAGTTTAATCAGCCAGTAAAAGGAAAATCTGCAATTCCATATAGGTATCCCAGGAATAGTACTACGCTGTAATTTTGAACATTCATATGTCCATAAACATCTAGTGATACCTTTTTCTCTTTGTTTCATTGTTAACTTAAGGCACCACAATCAGGGAACATGTTAAAATGGTGTAAGAATATATGATACATTTAGAAGGCATATCTAATAGCTTAAAGCAAACTGATTCAGGAGGAATTGAATGAAATCTATTCTATGAAAATGTTTTGTCAGTTCAAGGTTTAGGCTAACAGTTTACAGATAACAGTGAATGATATATCACTAGAGAAATTTAACAATAACCTGTGACTCGATTTGAAAATTGACTGAAGAAATAAATAAACCAAAGCTTGAATAGATATATAGACTCGGTTGGAATGGAAAAATTATGAAATGTAGAAACACTAAGTTGGTAAAATGAAGTAAACATCTAGAAAATACAATTGGAATTCTACAAAGAAACTGCATATTCATGAAAAGGTTGGAATACACTTCTTGAAAGATAACAGTCATTTCTTATTACTAAAATGATCAAACCTGTAAACTGGTTTGTGTTTCATTTAACTTATGTTGTATGAAACATTCTGATTATTATTATTATTCTTGGAAGATCCAAACAATAGGTGAATAATTCCTATTTTCGATTTGAGCTTGCTTCAGTATGACGAACAATTATGTTGGTACTTATTCGTTTTATTCTTTGCTGTCTGTGAAGCATTAACTTTCTTTCTCTAGACGCATCTCTTATGTGTCGTCAATAAAGGGGTATCTAATGTCTATCTTAACATTGTGCATATAACTCGAGTTAGTTTTACGAGATGTTGGAATATATTTCTTGAAAGATTTAAGAGTGTTACAGCTTTCCCCATTTGTTTTCACGATTTGATTTATTATTAAAACTTTGTAAGTTTTACATGAAACACAAGTGCCTTCCTCTAATGATTAACTGTTACAGCTTTATTCCAAAATTATTCATGAAATGGTAGTTAGCTGGTGAATAATAATATCCTGTGAGAACACTTTGAACCTCACTCTGAACCACTTCAGATACATTGACCAATCAGTTAGAGAAGGTGTACTTCTAAGATATGATGCAGGTAGATTATTTCGACGACAAACAATCAAATTGACGTTAATATGCAAAGTGTTTTATTAAACCTACAAGATATACATTTTTCGTCATGTTTTCATCTTTTGCTTCAAGTGTAAGACATACGTTAACACATACCTGCCACATGCTCTGACCGCGATGGCTGCTGCAATTCAACCACAATTTATTTGTCACGTAAGCTGTTTAATATTTTCTCAATTTAATCGATTTGAGATATACATCTAAACATTTAACAATAATGATAACAATAAAATTATATTATTGAAGGAATTTCTAAACACTTTCACTTTTCAACATTGTACAAAACTTTTTCGAGTTACTTTCATGGAGTTTTGAGCATGTCTCCTGTATTGATTCGTTGTTTTATTCTGCTTGCTTTCGAAACACTGTAGGTTAAATGAAAGGTTAACTTATACACACATATCTCCTTTACATTTTCTTATTAATGGAATCACGAGTAACAAAATCGTTTTACTACTTAGGTGAACTTTAATTCAGTAGTAGCTTAGCTGATGTATATGTCTGAATATTCAATATCTATTATTGTTGTGCATGCACGAATTGATTTTCCATCAATTGAATGGTAGTACGGTAAATAGCAATACTGTATGAGAGAGACTATAAGAAACTGAATTCTTAAACTACTTTCTACTTGAAATTTCTTTTCAGGTATTACAAGCATGTAAAACTGCCAAAGAAACTGTCAACGTGAAAGGAGATTTAGGTGAGATAAAAACTTTTGGGATGAAAACGGTTATCTAATGTTTTTTTTACAACATTTATGTACAAGTTCAATGTTTGATATACCAATTATTCTCAAAGAATTGAAATGAATTAACCCACGAACATTTGTTCAGATAATCTTGATGCATTTTAAGTGTTATCCCATATCATATATATGTCTAAGGTGAGCGAACAGCTTAACTCTGAAGCTTTCAACAACACATATAAGTATTGATAATTTTTTCCTGTACACTTGCTTCCACAAGCATATATGAACTAAAATGATTTGTCACTAGACAACTACATTGAACAGGTAGATAATGGAACTGTATCAATTTATCCATCTGCTTTATCATTTATAAACTCCACGTGATCTCTGTGACCGTTACAAAGACAAAAGAAGAAGTGGAGTGTGCATGGTTCCGCTTGTTAGGTTGTTACACATCGAATTGCACTGTCATTTTAATACTGATTTGGGATTTATCCTCGTGCGAACTTGACTTGTTATATACCCATGAATACAAGACCAAGAACGAAGACAATAGTGTAGTTAGATGGAATGGTATATATGCGAGATGGTGCCAAGATGCTGATGCCTTCCAACTAACTGGCTAGAGGGTCGATTACGAGCGGTGCAACGTAACACGACAGCGTGCCAAATGGCGAGGATGCGTGATCGGGTGCCTTCAGCTTAGACAGTTCAGTTAAATTATGATGCGAGCATCAGTGTTGAATCTTGTCGAACCCTAGGCTATTGATTCTGGAGAAGTGTGTGTGTGTGTGACGTCGAAATCCAGTATATCCCCTCCCCTGCAGAGCATGAAGAGAAACTCACTGATGCAGTATGTATTTAAGGGAATGATAATGCACTGGATGCACTTACAGACCGCACATTTTGTCAACCTCAACATACAACTAGTAAAATATTTGTGATCCACTTCAATGCACAGTCGAATGCCTAATCTTTTTTCAAAACACAAAACGTTTATTAATCCATTTACAGCAATCACTTCACATAGCTACATTGGAATAGAAATTGAAACTCTAAAACATATACACGATATTTCGTAGTTAGTAATAAGTTATTGGTTAGTCTACAATGATTATTTCTGAAATATAAAAAGGGTTCACGTCATTTTTTATTGAAGAAGAGAATATTGTGAGCATCAAACTGGTACAATACTGTAAACAGCAATGTAATTTTATTGGAAAATATAAATTATCAGCGAAGATAGTGATTTGTATCCATGTTTGTTTCACCTACTACTTAACATTTTACAACAGATAAAGGTTAGTTTTCTTCTCTCGTGATATGCCAATTGAGAGAATGATACAATAGGATTCAGCAGACTGAATACCATTTAAAGTAGCATGATTCGTCAGTGGACGTTTCCACTGGTACAACATTGATTCATCCTATAAGTTTGCCTAAATATGTACAATACATCTCATCTTCAAATAAGTTTATATTCAATCATTTTTTGATATTTTTCTCCTGTGTAGCGAAGTCTAATTTTCATTCCTCAGAAATGTATATGAGATAAAATGCAGCAAAACTGTATGATACCTACTTAATGTCTACTCATTTTTCAGGGCATAATGTTTTTTGCGAAGAATGTAAACTAGGCTATGTAATGCTTAAAGGTTGGCTAACTGATAAGGAGGAAATAAAAAGTTTGAAGTCAACAATCAGTGTGTTGTGTCTACTTTTCGCAGAAAATGAACCAAAGGTAAACCATTTGTTGTTGTTGTTGTACTCTTGTTGGAAAATAATAACCATGGTAGATCAAGCTTCTTGTTTGACATTCACCAAACTAGCGGATTATTGATCACTTCATTCCCAGATAATGGGGACTCAGAATCGGGTGAAGTCATTTTCAATAATACATTACAGTTTTCTCTTGAAGGAATCATGCCTGAATAGTGGTAGTTAATCAAAGGAAGTGATCAACATATCGATGGTATTTTTAGTCAAGAAAATCACTCACCCAACATAGTTTCACTAATAGAAATGTGAAACTTGAACACTGTGGTAGAATGCAATTCCATTTTAGATTGCTTTATCTGGTTTATAACACACTGTGATCTAGTAATATTTACCTGATGACGTTTCCAGCATAAATTATCATTGCTCATAATCATTTCAGTGTAGTCACAATCGAGTTTGATAGTCCTGTAGTCTCATATTATGTGGTTTTATTGGTGGTAGAGCTTTCCATATCTCTGGTACAAGTGTTGCAACATCTCTATTACGTGTGTTGCGTTTTGACTCGACGAACAAAGATTCAGTAATCAATCCTCCTCTCTATCTCCATCTTATCATATTGGACCAAAGTACAGTGGTGGTGGTGGTGGTATTCCAGCCTACTGTGTGGTTGTCTGTTAATCCATGCACTGCAATAGGTGAGTTTCTTCCAGATTATTGATCTTACTTGGATCTGTCATTCTATATTTAGCTAAATGACTAAGTTTCGCTATTCTGACTGACGCTGACTGCTTAGTTTTACCTAAGTACCGGGTGGGCTAAAACAACCACACTTAAGTCCGCTATATTTGGATGGAGAGACAAATTGATAGCTGAATCTTTGTTTATCAAATCAGCCAACACTGAACACATGTAATAGGAATGAGGCAACACCTATACCAGAGATATGGAAAACTTCACTACCGACGGAAACAAATAATATGAGATAACATGACTATAACCATCAGATGCCAAAATTGGTATGATTATGAGCAACGATTATTTATGCTCGAAACATCATCAAGCAAAATAATACTAGATCACTCACAATGTGTTATAAATCAAATATATAGCATCTTTTGTTTTCTGGTGTTGTACACAGACTCATTATCACAACAGCAAGGCATATCACTTCTCAAAAATATCATCTTGTGACTACTAAAAAATTCACGTTTTATGCAGCATAGTTGAACATTTATGCATTCGATGCGTTTGTTCATATAAACTTTTTTCACAACCGAAAACAAATGGTTTTAAAGTACATCAGGTTTAATACAAACCTATGTGCTATGTAACATAATAAACATCTAGCACAAGAGATAAGGCTAGTGTAATGCTTAGTTAAATTTCGTGACTTAAGTCTATCCAAGTATAAAACAGTTTTCCTGGTAGTTCCGAGGTGGTTCTTTGAATCTATTATGCATAAACCTGAGAAAAGGAACAAAGTGAAGATACTCATGCAGTAACATTTTCAAACTGCATGTTAATGGAGCGTTTTAAAAGCCTCAGGTCATATGTATACATCTATGTATACTAATATTGTTCAGATTGGGTGTATAGTACTGTTTATCTACAATGTCTCAGTTAACTTATGTTGACAAGCCTACTTTGTAAGATTGACTCAAATATAACACGTTTAAATAATCCATATGCATATACATCGATCAACCAGTGTCATGGGCTACCTATCTCTTTCTAAGATGAAGATGTAGTAAATTATATACACTATCCATGTTCATTCTCCTCAGACTACATCACTTTTCATGTTTTTCACTAAACTTTAGACCTCCTCTAATTTCCTACTATTTATTATTAAATTGCATTTTAGTGTATTAAAACGCTCAATACGTACGTCGATGAAGCAAAAACCTACATTAAAACATACAAAGCAGATCAGATTTGTTATGTAAGTCAGTGTACCTAATGAGAATATATTTCATGGTTCACTATCATTTTATTCAGTGCATGGTTAAGAAAAGGTCACTGGAAGAGTCTTTTATTTACTCTTGGCATGCCAACAGTACTCTAAGACATGATCATCCAGAGATGGTGAATATATAGGGAATTTACTAGTAAAACTTTGGATTAAGTTGGCCATCATTTATGAAAACTATTCAGTGCACAAACCTGGAAAAGGTAGTCAGCAAATGAAAAGTTGGTATTTCTCTCACACTTTCCCATCTAATATAACAACTTACAGTTATTTTGCAGTGATAATTTGAATGGGAAAACACTTTTAATTAGGTGGTTAGCAATGTATTGATATGCTTATTTGTCTCTCGAGAAACACTACTTCTTTTCACAACATCATCATAAGAGATTAGATAATGAATAATCAGGCCGATGATTGAGTGGAATCTTTTCACAGTAAACTACATTCTTATAAAGTGTCATTTAAGCATGTTGTTATAGAAAGGAAAAGAAATCACCAGATAACTTGCAGATGGTTCAGTACAGGCACATATCTTCACCCACAGTTGGAGAACCTGACGGAAAGAGTCATGGCTTAAGCATTACAAGATATGCTATACCAATTTGTTTAGTCCACTTCTGAAAAGTAGAAACTTTCTTATGCTGTAAACCGTATCAACATATTAAGACACCATTCTAAATTTTTCCTAGTTCCTGTTCCTATATACCCACAAACCTACCACTGCTCTCATATATATCTGTATGTCTCCAAATATGCTTATTTCAAGGTGTTATTAAAATCACATCTCTTTCAGAAAATTTGCGCTTTTGCACCACTTCTATTGTAATTGCCTGAATAAACAACTGTTACATGTAAGTTTTAAAAGGCAATTTTCCTATTTTCTATGACAATTATTACTTTCTGATAAGGATTATTAGAACACTGTAATCGTATGGAAGGTATCCACTTCATATCGTAACGCATCATTAAGACATTCTCATGAAATATAGTTGAGTAGAATGATAATTCGATTTATTAGAAATTTTGGTGAGTAGCTCCTGGAGGTAGTCTCGAAGTTCCAGTGAAAAGTCGTGACTGATGAGGGTAAAGCCTGATGGTCGTGAGGACAGTTGCTTAACGATGACATTGGGTGGCGGTTGCGCTATATCGTGAGCTAATAGAAGTTGGAAATATGGACCATTGGATTCTGACCGAATGGCTTAATGGTAACGTGCTGGCCACGGAACCTGAGGGTAGCGGATTTTATCCCAGGTTTCCTTTGTTCCTCCAACTGATATCCGTCAACGATGGATAACAACTTGAAATATTAGAAATATATTTTTAATGAATGTTTTCATACAATGATGTTATTCGAATAACAAAATTGGATAAAAACAATATCGTATACAAAATATCTTGTAGTGATTGACCAATCAACTATGTAGGTCAAACATCAAGAACACTGAATATCAGACTGAATGATTAACAAAAGGTCAACGGACAGGGATACAATGAAAATAGAAGTTTCAATGGTAGCCTATACTTGGGATGAAAAACATGATATTGAGTTGGAACAATGTTGACATTTTAAAGTCAAAGGTGGACAAATTGGAATGAAAGATTATTGACTGAATCCATATTCATACATGTCACACCGAACACATGCAACAGACACAGTGCAACTGTCAGCATCATAGAAGACTAGAGGAAAACAATGACAAACCTACAAAATGAAAAATGTGTGAACAAATAATTCCAACAATTAGTGAGATCATGGGTGGTAATTCTGCTCGAAATATTACCAACAATTAAATAACATCATTGACTGAAAACATTCATTAAAAATATATTTCTGATAAATTGATTCTCTTCCCAATGAACACATTTCGCATAGATATAATTGAGTATTATTCATTGACTTCCATTGAGACAGAGCTTCTTTGCCACCTTTGTAATATATAAACTGTACATCAGTTTGAAAGTGTAACTATCAATGTAGTTTCATCTTAATGAGACTTCCTTACTTCCTTCCTTACTGACTCTGATCACCTCACTGAATATGATATCAAAGTCATTGTGGATTGAAACTTGGTTTCGAAGAACAAAAATGTGTTCAAGATATCCACAATTCGATCATCAACAAAACTCAAATCATAATAATCTCGTGATCTCCTAGGTGAAACCATGTTTTCAGCATTATGCATTATGATCATTAGTTCTGAAAACGTACTTTCTAAGCTTGACATGAACGTAAATGTAGTTACATTCTAGAAAGAGTTGACAGAACAACTAAAGACTAATGTGTGACCCCTTGTGATTTCAACTTCAACTTAGAATTCGTCATAAATCAACTGGCTATCAAGCAACTTTCAATTGTGTTTAACTGTAACTGATGAAAATGTAGCCTTAAATTGAACATCTAAATGATGAAGGGTATATTTGAATGATGGAAGTAGAGAAATGATATTCTCTTCTTGACTCTATCTGTATAACTACTCAAACGTTTAGATTAAAGTTTCAAAATGTCCTTATCCCAGGCAGGTCTATTTCTTGAATATTCACTGAGAAACTCATGATATGAATTTATAACCTACAGAAATCAAGAGGGTTATTGTTGATGATATTTACCTGGATTGTTTAAAGTAATGCAGTTCAAGGATATGCTCAATGAAGCACAGTTTGTACCTAATTCCCTCCTAGATCTAACTGATTTGGTGTTATTTGTCAACTCACCTTTCCTTCAAGAACCAAAACTTGAAGTCGCTTTTCTAAGCTTGTAGTTGTTTAAATGCAAAAACACATCCTTCTGAATGCGTTTATCCATCCATGTATGTTTTACATTTGGATTAACTTGAATGTAAGTCAAATGATTTGAATAAGGCAGTTATTTCATTGTATTTCGATGGACATATTGTTCACCTTACGAAATTCTTGAGTAAAACCAAACCTGTGCCAATTCCACTAGAGTGTTTGAAAATGAAACTTAAATTGAGGATAATTAGTCGAATAAAAAAAATCATATTTGTGGCCTTATGACTGTTTCAAATGATTTTCCATGACATAAATATATCGTGGAAACAGTGTTTATCTGGACATTCTGATAGTGATTTATTTAAGTGAAGCAGCAGTTGGTGTTGTTAGCCTGTTCATACTTAATTCAACTTATAGTGGATTTGTGAAATGATAATTGCATCACACATATCCATTATTAGATGGAAGGGATTAATATTTTCCACACTTTGTGAAGTATATTGTAAGTTAGAAGAAAACTTGAAAAGTGATAACCATGAAGAGAAGTTGCACCGCACAGATATCACATATTATATGTGTGTATTATCGTCATCATTCCCGTAGTACAAGGGGGTCTCAATTACATATGATGACTAATTTGAAATCGAAGAAGCAACCGGTTTTCAATTTATTCCATCATTACATGATCAAGTCAAAGCGGCATTCCATGGTGGTAGGTTCAACAAGAGGAAAGATTGAAATCTTGTTGAAAGTCACTAAAAGTGTAGTGAAACTAATCATCCACCTTGTCATATACTAAACTTGTCAACATTTTTGTCTACATTTTATTACAGATTACTACTAAACGTAAAGAAATCAGTTTCAAAGGTGGAATTTTTTCTCATTATCTGAAAAGTGGTAATAAATGATAAATGAGTATAACGTGAATGACTTCGTTTTGCTTTTTATTTTGGGTAGCCAAAAAATGAATATTTCAAGTGATACTTAAAGTGTAGCATACAATTTGTGTTCTAAAGAAATTTACACAAAATTAAACAAATTTTACTCTGGTGAATTCTTCAGTGAATATCCTTTGATCGGTAACATTCTACAGTACATCAGTATGTGTATATTGGACATATTTAAGGCTACTTTTCCAATGAATCTCTTCAATGTCTGAATAATAAGTCTTTACCTAAATAAACCTGTTCATGTTGTTCATTGTCTGTACCATCTGTACTTTCCTCATCATATTCATGAAGATGATGTGAAATCACCTTGGTTGAACTTAATCTGAATTCATTTTACCTTCTTTATGCATTTGAGAGTGAAGATCTAGCTCATTAGTTTAGAAAACTGACTGTGAACTAATGAGTCACAAGTTGAAATCACTTCACCTGCAGACATTTAAACAGTCAGGCTTTATTACTAGTTCTCATACAACCAATGTACCCAATTTCTTAGCGCTTACGCCTATACCTTACCATCCAGTTATCATATTATGATATTCAGTGGGAATATAACTTAACTGGTTCATCAGGATGTAAAATATCGATTTCAAACAGATATATGGAGACGTGATATGAGTAGACCATTTTAGTTTTCGAACACATAACGAAATAAGATGAATTATTTAAGTGAAATAACCTCCTACTCTAACTTTACATACACCTATATAACTGCAAATGAATTCAGTTCTAGGTGAATACCTTAAAGATTCTTGATGTTCATTACAGTGAACATTTATTGTCACCCTGGTTGTGTTAAACCACTGCTTCTCTGCTATCAAATGACCGAACAAGTTAAAAAAATCCATATGCGTTTGTCTTCTTGATGAGATGTTTACAAGACAAGCTTAAACAGAGCTTGTAATGGGTCACTCACTAATGGACAACGTTTAAGTACTGGAAGCCAATAAGTCACTATAGAAATCTGATCATATCTCTAAGAATCACAAGAAAGATAGATAATCAATTCAAATCTGCTAGGAGACGAGATTTCTTTTCTTATCACAATTGATGTTCTCTTCATTTTGCGAACCAATAAAAGGTGACAATTCTGCAAAGGGATTACATGCGTGATGATATTCTTAGTATATATGGAACTATGAAACAGAATTCAGTCATTTGCTAACGCTAGAAGACTTATCATTAAACAGTCAGTGAAGAATGACTTGTGTACCAACGTGTTGGCTACAATTCTTCTGTCTTTATATCTACTCCGATAATTCAACTGACAAAAAATATCTTGTTTGATCATTTCCACTGGAATACATAAGTTCATTTAGTCTCTTTGACCAAGGCGTATAAGTGTTCAATGAGAGTTCAGATGAAAACTTTTCTGAAATGTTATCTTGTATGCTTAAAATCGACTATCAATAGAGTTGAAAAGTGTCTTTCAACTGTCATACGTTTCACAACTTTAATGATAATTGAAGCATGTAGATAATTCTTGTCTCTGTAAACAAGCGAAGGCTGTTCTATCCCCTCCATAGTCACTTCTAAATCATTCCACTTTTATATTTTATTTCCATCTTTCGCATCTTCCTTCTATTTACATATCTTTCAGTGCTCTTTCCAAACCTGTCATGTTATTCACCTTCTTTTTCGCTGTATTAACCTTTATCTATTCTGAGTTTCTGTCTTTCTTCAACATTCATAAGAAAACAAATTACTTTATGATATGAAGACTAACGGTCTATTGTGAGTTTCAAACTGACTGTATATTTCCAGCAACAAATTGCATGTACTTTCAGTTGTATGGATTTGTGAATGAAGCTTTTAAAAGGGGTTTTCTTTGCTCAAAGTACTTGTCTTTCTTATAAATTATTTCGATGAGTATTTTCCATCTAGATGAAGGAAACCACCAATGTGGAAAAGATTGTTCAATTAAAAATTCATTTTTCGGTGAAATATAATCTTCATTGTTGCTTGGAAGTGTCTTAGTGACAACTGAAGTAATTATTATTCATTTTCAAAGCAAGATAACTCTTATTCATTTTCCAAGCAAACAAGTTGGAAGTGCTTACAGTAGTAAGGCTTAGAAGGTAATCGTATGTGATAACTATGAGCAGACCAAAACTTTGTTAGTATACCAACTGAGCAAAAGGAGAAAAGCATGTCTCTATCTTGTTATCTTTTATTCAGTTAATAAATTAAAATTGCAAAATCAATAAATCCTCCCTAACCTCCGAATTCAACTACTGTTCGAAGTTCCAATAAAAATTGATGTCCGTTTGAACAAGCTACATTGGACATGTGAACAAATACTCAAAGGTAGTGTTGTATGGGGGTTACACTAAGTCGCGAATTGACAGAAGTAGAAAAATGTCACCCATTAGATGGTGATGCAATACTTCAGTTACAAAGTGTTCACCACGAAACCTAAGGTCTTGGTTCTGATCGCTGTCGTGGTTATGGGTGCGCACTGATGACGAGTTCTATACTGGAACAAAACAGATGCCTAATGCTCCCAAATTTACAATGGTTTTCTAACTGTCATCAGTCCATGATGAAAACCAAGTTTATATTATTGAGTTTTCATAAAATTCCTCACTGGATAATTAAAATTACCTACTTTCAGAATGTGTACATGGTTGAGTTAATGCTTTATTACTGTTACTGTGGTTCACACCCATGACTATAGTTCACAGATTTACTTCTAAGTGATTGAATGGTAATGCACTACTGCAATGAAACATACAAATAAAATTGTGTATTGTTGGAAAGTTTTAAGCGCTAAGACAGAACCATTGTACGATGTTTATCAACTTCTACTGTGACTGGTTAGTTGATATGAATTTCTTATCAATAAATAAGATGTAATGTAGGTTTTCAAGGAAGTTCGATTATTGTTTAGTCAACTTCATGAATCAGTTAGTAGTATTCAGTAGTTAATTTTTCTATCTTCAAATTTATATGATAGTCTATACTGAAAGGCTTTTTCTCATATTCATCAGGTAACAAGATAAATGAGCATATTTTTCATGATATTTTAAGCTTAACTGATTTAACTTTGTATAATCTGATGATAATCTCATTCTTCTATGCTGATCTGCTGATTGATTCCTCCAAAATAATTTGAGTGAATACTTAAGTGGATTCAAGTGTTAGTCTACTCGAAATAAATCCTTTTCAACTTTGATCAAGATTGAGAATGATAAAGACAATAGGATGATATAACTCAAAGTGTCATATATATGCACAAATTTCAACAGATTTCAACCATATATATCAATGAAAAAACATCAACAATTCTAATCATTGTACTTTATATTCCATTTAATTTTTATATAAAAGATTATAGTTTTCCAAGACAAAATTTCAATATTCCACTAACAATTAAACAAGTTTGCTTATAAGGTTAAATAACCTCGATGTAAACAATAAAGCATCACATGATTCACTGGAACAGTTTGTTGTTAAAGTTGATTAACAAACTATGAAGCTTCATCAATTAGATGAAGACAGAAAAGCATGAAAATATTGTACTTCTCAACATTCCAAGCCTCAAAGTGAGCTACTAGGTTAAATGAATACTGATACAAGTCACAGTCGATAAGATATTTCTATCAGGTGTACAAACGCTTAGTATTAGACACTTATAATTACATTCCATTCATCAACAGGAAATTGTTAGTACACTTCTACTATCCCATCAATGTATTGATAACTACTTATCATCTTTATTCAGTTACTAGATGAAATTTGATTACCTTTGGCATGAGATCCAAGGATTTCAGCAGCCATTAGACTGAATCGTGGATGATACTTGACTACAATAATCATATATTTAGTTTGGAGTTTGTGGAGGTTTCATCTTAAGCTTGAATTCATCACAAACTGACATCAACTGGTGGCAGTGAACAGATGTTGTGTCCTAGTGTGGAATTCCTCAATTGTACTGACCCATGAGCATCTCAGCGATCGAACTCAAAACCTTCAAGTACCACCTCCATCACGTTGACTATTCAGCACTCTACAATAATGTGCAAGTGACTTTCGAGGCTATCCTAAACCAGTTTTCCTAATTTTCACTGCAAATTTGGTTATATTATGAAACACAGAAGCCTAATTGGTTATTCCATTAGTTCTTGGACTGACCTTTAGAGTCTGATGAATTGAAGGTTGACAAACATGTAGCACTATTCAACTCACCTCTCGCTTTTCAGTGAGATTGTTCATACAGCTAAATATAGACAAGTAGCAATGCTAAAGTTGTCTGATCAAGAAGAAGAAGAACATTCATGCTTTTCGAAGTTCCTACAGTCACCCTGTTAATAAGGTGAATCGAGTTGAAAACTGTTAAAAACTTCTGCTAACGAAGAATTTCTGTGTAGGAATTACTGGTGTTCTGAATGCTTTGTTCATCGTATTATTTTTTCTGAAGTGAATAGCATGAAAATACTTTTAGATAGTCAATGTTCTCAGTGAATGTTAGCCGTTAAACTTATCTTCACTGTAAGTAATGGTTCGCATGATACCACAAATTAGAGTATATATATACATACACTAGAATGTGAAATCTTAATTACTAAGGGAAAACACGTCAGTTGAATCGAGATTGTGTGATGCATACAGGTGAAGTGAATTAAAATAAAAATAGTTTGGTGCAAAGCCTTTATCATAAATCAAACAAAGTTTTATGCCTGACAATTTGAGGTAGTGAGTGTTGTTAACACCTGAAGAAATAACTACTTGATCTGGAAGTTGGAAATAAGGTCGAAAATGTATCCGATAACTAACTAGTATAACCCCAGAGCAAACATAATTAGCTTATTTATTGAGATTAACATGCTTACTAAAATAGGAGTAAAATTTGGGCATAAAAATGTTATCCCATCAATAACACCATTGTCCCACTATGTAATACATCCAATCAAAAAAACCCAGGATAGAATCAATAATTTTAACTCTTTATTTCTCACTGACAACATCAAAAACATATTTGAGAACATTGAATCAAAGTTTTTCAATATCCCATTCTTCTTTCTTACTGATAATACGCTGAAAATAAACAAAATGGAAATCACTTCATAGAGTCTATAGGAAATCAATGATAGACCGTGTGTACAACAAATAAATCAATATCTCCTGTAAATATGTTGTGTACAATGTGAAGTCAAGTAGTTGAAGATTGTTGTGAGCGATTGAGTCCTAAACCATACTGTTTGGTTATTAGACGACTTTCATTAAGTTCACGTTTTATATATAATTGGCCACAGCACAACTCTGTGTGTTTCACCGCTCATCTTGATATATTCATTGTACACACTCCATGATTGTGTAGTGAATACACGTGTAATTTACACTTCCAACGAGATGACCTCCACATATACTTAAGAAGAATGGCCAAATGTAGAAATCCACAAGCACATTAGTTATAATCAAAATAATAATCTTCACAATATTGAGACATCCGCATAGGAGCGAATATGCTAATAGAGGTTTAACAATTCGATTCAATGAAACAATGAGTAATTACAAGTATATCAATAAACAGCAATAGCTACTTTACTACCGGCTGCACAAGGAGTGGCTATCGACCCTCTGTGACATAGTGGATAACGCCTTGGCGTTTAAAACGATGGTTTTGATGTTGATATGTAAATCCTTTTCTGACACCTTTTCTCCTCACACATTATACGTGGTAGACAAGATCAAGTTGAATTCTTCTACTTAATTGTAAGGGTGTTCAGTCTTATGTAGTTTCTTCTTGTCTTCCCTAAGGATTTGCAAGATGACAGCTGTGAATGAAGTGGATGCTCAGTATCACTTAAAATTACTCTCATTCGTCGCTTGCAATAATCTAAATTTCCTTCAACTAAAGTGTTAATCAGAGGTATAACACTCACTCTACTGACATTTTATAAAGCTCTACACAATATTACACAGTCTGTTTTTAGTAGACCACTAAAGATCAACGTGAAACAATTCACTAATCATCGGTTACATTGGCCTCAGTATCACTTAGTTTCAGAATCACCGACGTCTCTTTCTGCTAATGAAAATGCTACGTATCTTTTAAAGTGTGTAAATTCACTTTACCATACGTGGACTTAGTTAGCTTCAAAATGTCTGTCTAACTCTTGCACTCAACTTTTCAGGTATACTTCACTTATCTCGTATTTATAAACAAAAATACTTTCCTGATCGACATATTCTTAAGGTAATCAAAGGCACTATTGGAAATATTTGATGATGAAATAAACTCTTTTGTTCAAGAATAAACTTAACCTCATCTTATTGATGAACTATGCCAAATCCCTGTTCTTTTCATTTCAGGCAAATAATAGCAATGTGGTATATTTTAAAGAAAAGTGGCGTATGAAGTGTTCTATACCTGATTGCACATAGACATAGGCCACTGGTATACCAAAATGAAAAGTACAAGATAATAGAAAAAATTTATGCTAATCAAGTCACATTTTGCCCGTAAATACTTAGTTTACTGTGGTCATATGTATCCAATGTGAATAGTGGTCATTGAAGAACTTCATACGACACTTCTATAACTGGAATATATTCAGTCTATTGAATCAAGTTTACAGCAGACTTGTGAAGTTGAGATGTCAACATCTTTTAGTCTGACTCGACTCAGTGACAGTAATCTCATGTACATGTGCAGTAAGTATATTTAGTCGGGTATTCATTTCCATTTATGTAACCTAAATACTGAAAGATTTATTATCAGTTCAACATCTGGTGTATTTCTTTACACATATATCAGTACAGTTTGAAGAGATAAAATAGGCCTTACCAACCATTGAAATTAGAATATTCTACTATTTCTCTAATGGTATTATGTCTTACTGAATATATTTATCAGCTTAAATACTCACAGTTTCATAAGTTAAAGTGGACGAATGTGGAGCTAAAACAATTAACAATGATGTAAATGAATATTGTACAAAGTCTGAAGTCAACAAGTAGTAATATATGTCATGATAACATGTGAATTTATTCAACGATTCACCTTGAACTCATAGAGACGTTCACTTCGATCAACATGACATCTCTAATTAAAGAGAATGCAATGAAAAATGAGCAGGTTAGTAGTAGAATGTCTCATATATCATTTCGACAAATAACTTTCATTAGCTGTACAGTCCGAATTTGGTTATTATTATTATTACTAAACAAACAAACTAGTCTGTCATTGGCCGATGCATCAACGTTTAGTCATCGAAACAGAATGTTCCACTGTGAAATTGGAGTAGTAAGTGATTTCAAGGGTTTAAAAAAGAGATTTTATCATTGTAGAGATCACAAGGAAAATATCCAGTAGACCATAGTAATGACAACCAATAGGTTAAGAAATGATTATTATTATTATTATTATTATGAACAATAATCTGAGGAAAGTATCATGACAATCTAAATCAAAACGTGGGAAGTGAAATTTTAAGACTTAGGAAAGTAAAGCATAAAGTAAAACTTATAAGAATAATCAGTGAATAAGAATGAGATGAATGTTGAAGTGATAAAGAAATCTGAGGTGAGATTATGACCAAGTAGAGCTCCGAGTTACCATGTTGATTTGCCTAAGCCTTTGCTATGCATGATTGACGAATCCACACTTATTTCAATCCATTTCACTCTATGTTTGTATAGGATATTGAAATAAGACCATGTGGAAATGACATGTCCAGAGTTGACAAGCTAGTTCAACATGAAATTGTTGCTTGAATTGTGTTCTCCTAGGAACAGCCAGTCAGTATACTACTCGGAGATTCGTTACAAACGATGTGGCTAAAAGTGACAGTTTGTTCATCACACCTCCTTGAATCATCTATCAGCTGGCAAAGACCATTTGCAGCTCTTCAGGATAGAGTTCTTTTATGACCGCCTTTAAAAGACAACTGTTCAGTATCTCTTCTGCTTAAAAGAGAAAACAATTCAAACAATAGTTTCATCTCGAAGCATCTAGTCAACTCTGAACATGTCGTTTCAAAATCCTGTACAAAAGCCAAGTGAAACGGATTGAAATAAATGAGAATTCATCAATCACGTATAGCAGTGGCTTAGTCAGATCAACATTTAAACTCGGAGCTCTACTTCGTCGTTCTGTCTTAGATCTATACTTCTCATTAACCAACAATATGTCTGAAAATACATACTGACCAAATAACTCACATTTTTTTAATATACCCTTGGGGTATTTATGTATTAGACATATTTTAATAGCTTGTAAAAGTTCAAATGTACAAATTATCTCATAATTTTTCATTATCCATCCGACCGAAATCATGTCAATCCACTTGAATGGAGTGTTGTGTTAAAACATGGTGTAAGGCTTAAAGGTTCAAGTTAAAACCGCTTTCGATGCTGCATCTCAATCATTTATTCTATGATGTGAAAAGACTCATTTTCAAAATGACCCAACATATCTCGAAGTCTAAATTAATCCACCAGTTATGATCTATAGGAGGTTGGTGTTTTTGAACAAGCAATTTTCTCAAGAATGATTAATATGATGCCTAAATAAACACTATCAGACAATTCTCATAATCTTCATTTCTCTTCAATTTACTTGATATACGTAGACGGTTGATATGCTTCAGAACTCTTTCATTGTGTTATCAAAGTATTATTATATGAGTAGAATATCAATTTGTCAACAACTTTACAAATGAATTTAAATGACAACAGCTTTCATGAAAACAAGATAATTTGGTAACATATGACCTCCAAGTCTTTACGTATAACATAAAACTTCAGGATTGTTGTCACCCTGGATACATTTCAATTGAAGAGTGAACACTGTCATAGAACTACTCACTTTGATGCAGTTCTATTCACTGTAAAAGATGAAAGTGAGATTTCCTATGATTTTATGATGTCCTATCTATCTAATGAATGTAGTGCTCAGTTTACAGTTACTTATACTCCAATGGATAACAATTCATTGTTTCATTTGATACCAATTAGCACTGTTCGTATGTATATGTATAGGAGGGACTTTGAACAATTTACCTACTTACAACCAGGTCACTGAATCAAATAAGCATATCAATGAAGGTTATACTTAGTAAAAATACATACTGTTCAATACTACTATGTAAATGTGAGTGAAATAAATAAAGATAAACAAATTTTTACTCTGCATATGTTGTCCAAATGCTTATGAAGAGCTTTGTTCATATGGTTTAACAGATCTACCGTATAATCTGTACACTAAATAAAGAAAATGTGTAAAGTATATTAATATTAGTTTACATAACACAACATTAATACTTAAAATAGTGTTTCCAGTATGAATTAGAAGAAAATTTCTATCTCTAAAGATACATTTAGCAAAGTGAGAAGAAGATTTAAATGATGAGCAAATTGTTCAGTTGATTGTTGAGTTTTAATGCAAACTATGGTTGACACCGTCTTCAGTCTACTGTTAATGTATTTATCTACCTCCATCGGGTATATAACATAACAAAGGTGTTAATTGGTTGGAGGCGATCGGCAGGAGGCTCTGTTCGACCTAGGTCTCGTGATTTTTGGCACTTGTCAGCAAGGTGTATCTGCAACCTCGACAGAACTGATGTCCCACCAGAGATTCCGACTCACGTCACCCAGCGACTTTACCACTGAGCTATTAGGGCCGCAGTTGACCTCCTGTAGGACTGGCTTACATGTATTGATTAGTCCCGAGTGTGCAATCAATTTCATGTTGTCTAGTCCTGAGTGCAGACCGAATCCTATCGATCATATTTCCAACTAACATCTAGTAATGTGCACCGCAGTGCTCAGCTTCCTAGCTAGACAACATGGAATTGGTTGCACACCCGTGACCAATCAATACATAATAAAGGTGTAGAAACTAAGTCCAGATAGATGTATGAAATTTAGGGTGGGTTGATCTTATTTAGAGAAATGAAATGCTCACTTAAATTGATCGAATTTTCCTCATCTATAGTGACACACAGAACTGACATAGCTAATGCAATGCAAAAACGGTGCACAAACTATTCGAGATGCATTTGATCATAAGGTTGTACATAATTAGATTGTAAAGGCATTCTGATCTAAATTCATGACTCCTTTTTTTATTTATTTACTGGCTAATCTACATACGTAGAGTAGTAACCATTAAACAACTCCCGTACAACTTTGATAGAGTTTTCAATAGCTGAAAATATTCTTCTCTCCTTATCATATTGCTGACTGCATAGTACAACATTTTGGCTTACATTTCAGTAAACACCTAACATCATTAGGCATTGCACAAAATCGTATAGTTTTATATTGGTTGGATTCAATACAACTGAGAAAATGTACATCGAGTAATTAACAGATTTTTCATTGACAAGAGACCGACTTCTTTACTATATGCAGCTAATGAAGTTGTTGATGAATATTCCATGACTTTATCAAGCCTAATGCTTATGGAAAATATACCTCGATTGGATAGATGATATGTGTTATTCGTGTGTGACAGCTGGCTTACTTCCATTCCATTCTCTTCTATTCTACTTTTCTTGATATGAACTGAACAGAAAGTAGAGAAACAAGAATCTGTTCCTCTCTTACCTGTTGGTAGTTACAGTCTTCCATTTTACTTTGACTTTTACCACTGACATATATTACATAAAACTCGTAAGTCATAAATACACTCTATTCGATGTTGCATTTCTTTTTGCTAAATTGAACACCCTGAAGACTCAAGATAATACAGTGTAGAACTTGTTTATTGTTTCAGAATGTGGATGTGTTAACCAACACGTAGTTTGTATGCATCGCATATCTTCTAATTCCATTGTGAACCAGTGAAGTGATACACCTACCTATTCATCAAGGTGAATATGAATTAGGTGTACATTTATTCAACTATCTCTGAATATAATCTCGATATCTTAAATGTTCAGTATAATTAAAGTGTTAAAACAGGAGAATTTCAAACTGGTTTACTTAAGGAGGTTAACGACCACATCCATTCAGTATTCCATGCCTTATACACAACTAATATTCAGGTTATCGCCTATCACTTATTCAACCACCTTCAAAGCTATCCCAGCAACAACCGAAATAACCATTCAAGTTTCTTTATTTTAATGGTAAGGTAGATTTTTTTTCATAAATACACAACTTTAAATGATTAATTCAGTAGTTAAGGTTAGGGTGGCGTTTTTAGTCACTCCATTTATGTAGCACATATAACATTTAAATTGAGTAGAAAATGTCAAGAATTCTCAGAGATGTTTTCCTGTACTGTAAGTAATCGGAAGTCAATTAAGACACATAGTAATGACAGACTGATGACTAGGCTAAACAAAACATGTGAGAATCTCCTGTTGATTGAAGTGAAAACTTACATGTTGTTCTTGTCTTATAAATAGACTACAACCAGATTGAATTGGTCTTTTCATTCTTTCAGTAAATGAAGTCTTCTTCATCATTTGATAGATTTGCTTACTTAGACTCTTGCATTTCTTACAGCTGTCAAGATTTTCTGTTAAAACAAAAACATGAAATTGTAATGGAAAATGTACAAATCAAGTAAAAAGTGGTAAAATCAATTATTGTGTGCCTCACAAATACTTTAATGTCCCGATTATAACTCTTCAGTAACCCTAGAACTATTTCATGCATAATTATGCTGTACACCAGGCAACAGCTAATACTCAACATCACACTTCAGTATTTGACACTCAGACTGACTGCAAAGTATACATGTATTGCAATGAAAATGTATAATAACTTTCAAATGGAGGATGATACTTTGCATAAAACAGACTGACTTGTAGGATACTTCCAGTCACTAGATGAATAAAATAGCGGAAGAGAATCCTTCAGCTTTTTTGAAACTACAGAATGTTTTGCAAGCAAAACTTCTTTTCTGCGTAACTAGTTTCAAAATTCCCAAACTGCATTTGGTAATATTGTCATCCCACAACATTTTTAGTAGCAGTTTGAATATGCGCCATAAACAAATTACTAGATCCTACTTCAAGTTGACTTGTTACACAGAAACCCTGGAGAACAAACATATTTCAAGTTCTTGAGATTGGCTCTCTCAAATGGAGTCTTATCAAATGAATCGTCTAAAAATGGTGACTTTTATTTTCTATCATACCTGCTAATATACATGCTAATCATTATTTCACTAAGAAAACTGCGTTACCACGATTTTTTAATATCAAGCATGAAAGATCTCACTCAACATTATCTGTATGTAAGTAGTACGTTGGCGAAACAAGAAGTATAATCCAGTACTACTCCTGTGATTGGTAGTAATAGTGAACTTCTGAAGTGAGTGAGCGTAATAAGAGGCTGAGATACTAAGCAAAGGGAAAGCATAAAGATACTCTAAGTAAATACGACAACGACTATCCACTAAGCCGCCAAATTATCAGAAGACAAAGACTGATATGTGACTGCAATGACGACGTCATTCCATAAAGATGGATCATACATATTTGCATGAACGAGTGATTTTAAAGGCTACTGTGGCAACGACTTAAATAACCAATTACTTTTCTTCATTTCAGTTACAAAGGTAGATTTCCGTCTAGTACAGAAGTTTAATTGGTCGTTTCAGTTGTTTCTAGGTTGTCCTTTAAGGACACTTACATGCCCAGTTTTCACAAACACATGAATGCGCTAGATCAAAACAAAATAACTTCTTTTAACTGACTGCTTCAATTATGAAGTTGTTCCAGAGGCATTTAGCATGATCAAACAACAAAATAGGTCAACATTTGGAACTGAAAAATGACTGTCTCATTGGTCAACAAGTTGAAATGTTGATTTCTGTCTTAGCAGCTTGTTGTCAATGTCTATAACGATAATGATCAACACTCCTAAAATCGGTTTGAAACTTCTGTTCCTGACTTTGTCTACATAGAAAGTTTCCCACTCTATGACTACGTGGAACTTAGTAGGCTTATGGAAAATATTCATTCGCATGTATTTTTTCACCATCAAGTACAGTTTATCAAGAGACAGAATGTCATCAAGTGGATCCATATGGAGCAAACAATTAACGTGTATATCATCACCTATGTGATACACATTAGGATTACAGATTTAGCCATAAATAACTGAGTGACTCATCACGAAAGTATTGAAATGTAACATTCATGACTGCAGTGCTCAGTATTCTATATGTCTGACAGTCGCTGAGAAAAGTGGCTACTTCACCACGCTTTTAAATGAGTCATTTCAATAAGTCTCTTCATAAATGTGAAACCAAAGTTTCTCAACTTTCACCAATTGATCTCAGTAACTCATAACCAGCTGTTCAATTTTCCGATTGTTAATGAGGAGCGGTCTTTCTAAATGACAAATTGGATTTATTATGTATGCACTTGATCTATTGAACGTTGACAGGTGAATTGTCACCATTCTAGTCGGTGTGGATTTGATCTATATTCCATACACCAAGCGTTTTGTGACATCGTGTCTGCAACCTCTACAATATTTCAATAAGATATACACTCTGAATTGGTAGCCATGTCCAATGTGTGTTTTTTTATTTTTTAGTAGTCATGTTTAAAGCGCATCGATGAAGTTGAGCACATCCATATTGTCTTGGGAAATTTACCTGTATGTCAGTGACAGCTGCCGCATTCGATTTCCTGATAAGCTAATCAGGACATAACATACATCTGATTTATTTTGTCTAAATATTTTTTCCTATAGAAATATTCAAGTGGTCAAAGCAGATACTCATTCCAGTTTGACGTTTTACTTCTCTACTCAGACAAACCAATTCACTGGACACTCACTCAATGACACGGGCCTTATTCAGGGTTGATAAAGTTGATCAGATTCAATAAACGCATTGTATTTATAAATGAATAAATCTATTTAAGAAAAGAAATCAAATTACAACTTAGAGAGAAGGGTAAACCATCATCTTCTCACCTGTTTTAATTGTATATTCTTCAACCTCACTGGAATTGCATACCTGGAAGTTCTGTACAGATTTAAAAATTAGACATTTTTCAGTTATGTTGAGGTGTCCATCAACAAACAATAAGGCAAATATCTTCTAAAAACAGAGTTTCGAGCGAGTGAAAGCTATGCATGTAAATGGCATATTCTAATAACATCAAATTATGAAGTATGCCAGTTTTCAGCCATCCAATCTAGAATCCTTTGATATATGCGATATGGTTGTAGACAGTGTTCAGGCAGTTCTTAGCTTAGATGTTATGCACGGCAGCGCCCATCACAAATGTGTATCTACAGCCCTTAGATGCTTTCGGTAAACTGTTCAACCTGAATGAAGATTAGTCCTCCAACCACTCACTTTACTAGGTGATGTAGGATTAAATGTGTAGAAGGAAGTCATTTCCCTCCAGATTGCAGATTAACCTTGCTGACCAGTGGAAATGAGCAAAGGATGTGGGTTTGGGGTCACCTATCGAGTGTCATCAACTACACAATAATAGAATTGCACCATGATGGTGAATTTATCAGCTTAGTAACCGCATTGCGAAATAAACGATCAAATTAAGTCAATACAGAACAAGACATAAAATGGTCTTTTCTTCAGCAGCTAATCCGTGTAAACTGTGAATCATGTAGTTTCTTTTTATAAAGTAGGAAGTTAAACAGATATGAGGTAAGTGAGTTCGTCTTATCACATTTAACAATACCTTCATCCATCCATGTGAATTGAGATCCCATATTCTATGTTGCCTGTTTTATTCCCACCTAAACGTACTTTAACTACAAACCGCTATACTCAGATGACCCCTCATAAATATGTTTAGCATGCTGAAAGCGAATTACTCATCAGGTAATCGATTTTAATACAGAGTAATGAGTCCCTTCAATCAGTACACCTTTTGAATGGGAGAGAAACATGCAATCTCATATCTGGATTCTAACATAATGACAAATTATTCACTTTTCACATTCAATAATCAAACAAACTTGATTTTTAAGCATAAGCTAATCTTTTTTGTTCACCAAATTGTCTTTCTCTCTTAGTTATGTTACCATAAAGCTTGTGAATTATACTTGTTTCCTATTTTAATTTTTTGTAATGGAAACTTTTAACTGTTCTCATCAGATTCTCTTCTAAGTTGAACACTTAAGATGTTGATAAAATCAATTTACACACATTCATAAATTAACATGTAGAGTTGAAGTAAAAGTATTACGAAGAATAAATTGATCCAAGAATCATATTTACTAAATGACAAGATGATATTCCATAAGAAAATTTGTGAACAATGTTATGCTGTCGCCTTCAATGCCTGATGAGCCATTGATTGAGGAAGAAGAAGGCGAAGAAGAAAGGAATACACATATTTATAGTGTTCATTGACCCAAAGAATGTATTCCTCACTCTCTCAAGTCATCGAATATCCAACTATATATACACATCTATCTGTGTATATCTGATTCGATAACAATATGCTCTGCTTCAGTGTTATAATTGATTGATAAGTATTATTACAACTGATATTTAGTAATGCATACACACTATTAGTGTAAAATTAATGTAATTGAATAACACACATGTAAATACTACCTTACAAATTTCATCTGGTTTACAAGCTGCTCCAATTGAATCCATAATACTCTGTAAATACTTTGTGATATAGATTGAACACTAAGGTAAATAAATATAAAATGGTTTGCTAAACAAAACGGAATATCTTCACATTTACTAAATCAAAATCACTTTCAAAATTTTCACTATTACCATTTAGATCTTTTAGTTTTCATTTATGTCTACTCAGGTTTTACTCATATTCTCCTGTCTCTGAGCACATTCCTTCGTAATGGGATAAAATGAAACCAATCAGAAGTTCAATGTCCAGTTATCAGTCAATAGAGATTATGTAACAGATAAAACTAAATCACTGAACGTCATTCACCTCCTTCCAAAAAATCTTTCGAAAGGAATCCCTGTTCCCATTTTACAACATATCGCTGAAGTCAGGAGAAATAGGAGCAAACTACTCTAGTCTTTGTAAGGTGTAGACATCTCTGTTGTAGTCAAAAACAATTTAATGCACGATGTCAAACATAAAATCTGAGTTTCCCAGCTCTTTCTCCTCCCATCTTTCGCTTACACAAAGATTATCTTCATACTTCATTCTTTGTAGCTAGGTCACTTTTATTTCCCAAGCTTTTCCCAACACTTATTATTTGAATGCTTGAAGTAGCGTTCTGTTCCCATTTTTCTTATCATAACTATGATAAATACTCAGATTATCATTGTCATCATTATGGTCATGATTATTACACGACTAGTTAGGATTTGTGTACTTCACTACCGTGTCACCATAGGCTTAAGTATTCATCATAATTGATTTCATTCTCTCAACATATAAAAAGGAAATATATGTGATGAAGCCTGGAAACAATGCTGTTGAGTATGCCGATGAGCATTGTTCCTATCAAAATAACACATGAATATCGTCAAAATCACTTTCTGATCAAAGTTATCTAACGAAATATGTATAGCAGAAGTTTCAACCACCAACCCCTTCTCAATAGTATGTTTAGCTCTCGAAGAGCTTGAACGTTTGTTTCCAGTAACACTTTGATCTGTTTTAGATACACTTTGGAATATGTTTGTAGCCGTTTCTTTCAATCACTATCATATAGACACAAAGAAAGATACTTAGGAGCTTCACAATTACATTCATATAATTTTAATGGAACTTTATCAAGTTGGTAATAACTTCAAAGTGTGTTATTTATTCAAATGAACAATTTTTGTCATTGTATAATCTTCAAGAGAACAACAATATCACACTTGATGATGTAAATGTCTGTAGAAGTAGAAGTGTACACTGATTCTCTTGATTCTATCATTAAAAGCAAAATGAAGTTGTTCAGCAGTTTTAAACAAGAACAGATGTACCATTTCCAGGTATATGTGACACTTGAAGGCGTAATCACCTCAGAGATTCAGAAGCTGTTCTACTCTTTTCAACTTTAATGAAGGACTAATTACACTTTTATAACCAGCTTCCCGATATTTTATTCATCAACTTCATACTGAAGTGTTCTACGATACTATATGATTAGATAACTAACTGATGCTATTTATCACAGTGAAACTTTCCAACTTCCATCTATTCTCACAACATATCATGGTGAAATATTTCACTTGTATATTCAATAAACACGTAGTTTTTTATACTATTTAAGTAGTAGAGTAATCACATTTAAAATTTGCTATAGGAAACAACAATGAATCCCTTACAACGATTAATAATAATAATAATAATAATAATGACTCACAGCATCTTTTGTTCTTCCAGATGGAATAAGATCGCATATATTTTCGGCTGTCAGTGTATATACATCACGCCAATATGGATCAGTCAATAAATAATGAATGAAACTAAGTCCAGATAGACAAACTCCACATCCTGTAAATAAATAAAAAGAGACATAAATAGTAGAATATAATTGGTTACTTTTTAACATTGTGCTCAGTTAGGCAGTTTAAACAATACCAACCAAAGGAATAATTAACCTGAAGTATTTAGTATCCCTGTTTACTATTCACCTGCAATACGTGTGATGAGAGAATGAATGAATGAATGAATAAATTGTATTCGATCATTGTTAAATACTTTCTAATATAATGACAAACTTCGAAAAGAGAAATACAATAACACACACACACACACACAACTTGATTTATCAACAATCTCAAACTACACTTAATTATCTATCATATTTACTATGTGAGATGGTCATGGTTTAGCAGAATTCCGTTGGTACGAGATGACGAATGAAGGTAAAGTGACAATTTGGTCTGAAACAAGATTCAAACCAGCAATCACTGTGTATCTGGCCTGATACTCTATTAATTGAGCAGCTACAAGATATAACTATTGATCAGATTTTTATTCCATTTCATCACTTCAGAGCACCGTACAGGAAACCAAGTGGACTCTGATTCTAATCTTGCTGTGTCCTAAATTATCATTTCACCTTCAATCATCGCCCACCCACCCCCCATATCAATACATTTAATTACTCAATATTTTGATGTTTCAATTGACGAAATTTTCAACACCCCAATATAACTGACGACTTCATTATCTCCTTATACATTACTTAACATAAATAGATGATGTGAATGTAAAGTATCACAATAGATCAGTACAGTAATCAGACACTTAATAAAGTACCATAGGATTTAATTGAATGAATATGGACTAAAAATTCGTGAATGTGAACTTTGACAAGCGCTCAATATTCTCCTAGGATTGACATCTGATTATATACATTTTCATCAAATTAACTTGATTGGGATCATCTTTCCTGATCATTTAAACTAAAAGATTGAATGAGAAAGTTAAAAATGTTTACAATATCCTATCCATGTTTGAAATAGAAATCTTCCAGAAGATCTCAGATAACGAAACACAACTGATTGATCAGTCAAACAGATCAATGAAGAACCAGATGTTGAAATGTAGCAGAGAAAATTTGCCATGATTTATACCAGCGTGTATCGAAAACTGATATTAAGGCAGACAGATATGTGTGCGGAGATAAAATAATTGGAAGAAGGTTAACAAAGTTTTGAAGACTTTGAAAATGTCAATGCATCTATGCAAGTATACCACTATGACCGATTCCTAGCCATATCATAAAGAGTATGCAAACATTGATTCTTCTTATATCCAAGAAGTGAACTTCATAGTCTACACTTTCTTACACTTCCAGGAACAATAGTCAAAGGCTTCATAGACTAGTGTCACATCATAGTCTAACCACCCCCTGTCTTCTAATCCATCGTCGACTAAAATTGCACGTATTGGTAAATGATGGTGTCTTGGCATGTGTAACACATATCAAAAGCACTGCAGTCGCTTAAGGTTTATAACCTCATTCACTAACGTTGCTTGCTAGCTTGCTGAGGAGCCTTTGCCAAACCTAGATATTTCTCGCAATCAGATTCAGCGATACACAAACAACGCTGTGAAAACACTTATGATCTGGAACACTTCATACCGTAGTTTCTTAGAGGTTACGTCTCAAATATATAACAAAGCGAATGAGATTACATCACAGCACAGTTATCCTGTGGTAGACAGTTGGATAACTCGTCAGTCGGCTCCACAGATGACGGAGGTTAGTTAATTCTGAATAGGTCTTTTGTATCCTAAATGAGATTCACTCAGCAGTCAGCACATTCATGTTGATGCGAATGTCCAAGTGAGTTGAGCAGTCGATACATTCTCCCTAGTTCATTCTCAATACTTGAACTACATATAGTTGTAGACCAGTCCTCGAGCAATATCTCACATTTGACAGGTATGAAACACATGCCAAACCTACTCAGATTTATCTTCAATATGTTCAGAAGGCTCTGCGTTATATTAGTGTCTTCGCCTAATTGGACTGTGTTGCATGTGCACTGCAGAGCAACCATGAGCCCTTCTGGGAGTAAGTCAATCCACTAGAAGTTGAAGATATAGAATTATGCTCCTCCACACATCAATAAAGTTACACAGTAACGATGATAGTAGGCGTCTGCGGTTAATGCTGCTGAGTGTCGTGAAATAGGACGAAAATTACCCGTTAGCCCTTACATGGAATGTACACACGGATTTCAATAAACCGTCTGGCCGAACATTGAATTTTGTTACAAACTCACTACATAGTCAGATACCATCATAGCACCTCTTGATGGTTAATATAGTCGAATGCCGCCTTCACGTCAAGAAATGTCACAAGAGTCGGCCATTAGTATGCCTGTGTTGTAGAAGCTCATGAAGGGTGAGAATTGGATAAATCAACCCTCATTGAAGCTTGAAACCTGCCTACTTTCCTCAACTTTGTTGTTCTCCATCTCCACTTGGGCATCATTTAGCTTTGAATTTCAGTGTCTAAGATTTCATGTTTGTTAAACTTATTTCTCGCTGAATGTGTCACATATACACTGTTCTCCTTCTTTTTTTCAACTTGGAATGGTCAGCTACAGACCAGTATTCTGGCACCACCAATAACTACGCTACACTATGTAGGATTTCCGTTAGTCTACTCAGTAATTTTGTGTCTATCACTGACTTATCCAAAGGTTTTTCAACGCACTAAACAATTTAAAGTGTATTGTTACATGTGTCTTCCATGACATAAATATTATCTCTTTATATCTAACAGATAAGAATTTCAAAACTCTTATGATTGAAAAGATTCTTTTGGGGTATGATTTTCTAGAATACTGATGAAAATAGTACGCAGTTTAAGAAGGATTAAAATGGCAACAGAAACCATTTTATCATAAGAGGAATATTAGATATTCATTCACATACCCCATGTCATGTTTTTCCATTGACCATTATCCTGTTGCTATTCAACGAAATATGATAAATTTGATTAACACGTTTAAGAATAACAATATAAACAAACAACATTGATAAATATGATGGGTGTTATTGAAATATACCGCCCTAATATCAGCATAGGAATATTCATAAGGATTTTATCTTCATCTATTTAATGAAAGTAATTCAGACTTTGTTTCCCTGTTTCTATGCATGTAATTCGATAAAAGATTACAAGGTGCTATCAGTGTGTCTGTGTGTGTGTGTATGCATACAACTTTAATCTCAAATGAAAAGATGATAAGAGTAGAAGTTGGCGATTGGGGAGGAATTCAGTTCCATTTCACTTGGTTTACAGCGTGCATATTACACAGTGAAACGGTATTATATAGTGAATTCAGTTCCCGACTCAGTTTATTGTCGACAGTCATATCAAGGTAAGTCGATGACTAAGTTAGTATTTCATATTGTCACTGTGTTGCAGTCAATTGTTTGTAATCATATACACGGATATAGCCAAACATCTTCCAGATTCTTTATCTTACTGTGATCGACCAATCTTGAGCTATCTAACTGATACTAGTCTACTAATATCACCTACGTAACTCACCGTGTAATCATTGTAGATGGATTCAGTGAACTAAATTATTCCACTCCATTGGACTAATAGGATATTTTAACCTACAACGTTTATTCTCAAGGAACATTCTAAGTAGAAATGTCACTGTGATGACAACCTTATTGAGAATTCCCTATATGACTTCCGAGTTGTCTTCAGTCTATGGTTACATTATGAATTTCCAATTCTCCTTAAACAGTATTTTCACTATTATGATTACTAATGACACCTATCCAATTACTGGTGCTGCTGCTGCTGCTCATATTTCTCTAACAGTTTCTCATTGTTTTATTGAAGTCAAGTGGTTTTCTGAATGGATGGAGCTTATTCAAAGGATTACAACGTGGATTTCATAGAAAATTCTCTACAAACTAAACACTAGTAAGTTTCGTGTGTATGAGTGTATCCCATAAGCAATTTGTGTTTTGTTGACCACCCCTTACAAAATCTCCTACATGTGAATAAGTAAGCGAGTGGAATTACAAGGATACTCTTTATCACAATCTTATCAAATTAAAGTAGACAAATACTGGAAGTTGAATAACTCAAATTAATGTTGCGAAATAAATGAAGCTTAAGAAAATGAATCATGAGAAAAGGAAGTCTGAGAACTCCATTTCCATTTCATTTGTATATTTCATCTACTATGACATTTTTTATTTTGGTGACAGGATAAATGGTCAGACATGTGCTGACTCCTTGTGGTTAGTGATCGTTGTTTCTTTTAAGTTCTCGTAGTTTTTCTAAACAGAAATTCTCTCTCATAATTAACATTCTTATATGATCCTTTTCTTGAAAATATTTGTAGTGTATTTGAAAATGTGAATCCTGGTGGGAACAACATCACTCACTGGGAGGCAGGTACATCCAGCTGACGAGTTCCAAGTTGGAGGGAATGCGTATCCTGGATTCCACTGCTAGTCACTACCCATCTTTACTATAAATATAATTTAGTTGAAATCCAACTTCTTTTCTCAATCTGGTTCGTAGAGATTAAACTGAATCGTAATTAATGGATGTTATCAGTTAAAATCATGCCTAACTATCCATTTATAATTAAGGCTTGTTTAAAAGGAGAAGTGTTATTCAAGCAATCCCTTGTCATCGTTTTCTTTCTATGAAGCCTTTCAAGTAAGAACTTCCACGTAGTCCCCTTTTCTTCTTCACATTGGTAACATCATACAATGTCACAGAACCTATGTCTACATAGAATTCCACGCCGAAATTGAAGTGATAAATAGATATTCTAGAGAATGAAAGGACATTCATGGTGAAGCAAGTCAATGTACTATTCAATATATTCCCCAAGGTGTTTCAGTAGGGAATAATAGTCATATTCTTTCAGGTCACCTGGATGACTCACTAACTGAAACAACAAATTAATCATAAAATGTTATCTTCTTCTAACCTCCTTTCTTCATTCTTCAGAATATTTTCATACTTCACAACTAGCCTATTTCCACGTCAGTGTTGAATCAACAAAATATACCACTAACGATGTGATAACAACCACTAGACAAGCTGACAGACATTCTTCATTTTAATTATACGGCAGACATCTGAGTGAGTTATGAGTATTAACTAGTTGTATACATGATGAAGACAATCAATCTGAGCTTGACAATCATCATCAGTGAGTCACTTTGACTTCATTCTTATCCCTACTCATTTCTTCATGACAGGTGTTCTTCAACAGTCACTTCATTCCTTCACTAATGTTAACTATGCTTGCTTCCATTAGGAAAGGCATAATTTATCAAAATTATCCATCTCATTGTTCACTTTCCTCTAAGGTTATGGTAAGAAGTTAAAGTGACTTTGAAAATTTGTGATGATACTTAACATATTAAACATGCAGGTTATAAGTAACCTTCAACGATCCAACTTCTCAGCAAAACAAAAATGGCTTACTTCAACGATAATAGCAGCCAATGAATTGGTGGAAGTATAAAGTGAGTATAATACAAATAGGCAAGTGACCAACTGTTTATTCATTATACTCGAGAAATATGCACTAAATAAATATGTCAATTCAATTAACATATATTTATATATACTGCTGAATTATAGATACCAGTACGTTTTGTAAAGAGAACTCCGTCACTTGGAAGTGAATGGTGATGAATACTACACCAATCTTTGATCGCTGATTAAAAAAGTCAACAACCTGCCGTATCTTTTATCTTAATCGGAGCAAAAAAAAAAGGTTAATGTGTATGATCAAAGTTCATGTGAACGAACGATCCACTTTGTATCATTATTATTTTTTAGACGATCATAACTTCGAAGAACAATGGTTCAATTAATCTTCATCTACACTGAAGTCTTTGTACAATTTCCAACATCAAAAATACCACTATTTCCATTGCTTTTTCTTCTTACTGATTGATTTCAAGTAGCTTCTCTTGATAGGCATATGATGACGTACAGTGACGTACAACGTCCTATTCACATTGGATGAATTCTGTCTGTCACCTTGTAGAAGAGCTTCAAGGAAATGTCAACTATCTCATTCAAAGGGTTGTATTACACTTTAAACTAACAGTTCACCTTCAAAATTGCGCATTTCTTTGCAGTATGGAAATGCACAATTCACTCGAAATCAATAGACTGAATCCACACAGTTTCTCAAATTATTAGTAATCTTGTATTTTTTCATAAATACGCTTTGACTTTTGGTGATCCAATATGGGAGATGCCTTCTTGAAAACAAACAGTGTTTGCAGGATTACTTTATACTCATTATTCTTTTAAACTTGTTGACAAGAAAACTCTTTCAATCTCCTGTCAAATCCTTCATATAGAATAAACAAGCAATTACTACTTGAATCTTCTAACACACCATCTTTTCCTTTCACAGATTGCAAATTCTGTTTCACCTTCTGATACAAATTTATTCTCAGGTTTATGGATGTTCTCACATCCATCTACAGGTTAACTTCAGTCGTTCCTTTCATATTTACTTGGTTATTCAGCAGATTGAAAATGAAAGTGACTGGTGCAAGAGATGTGAAAACAGAGAGATACAATGGTGAATAACACACAGGCTTCCACCTGCTACAAATTCCACCCAAATCGAATTTTACAAACATACTGAATTTAAACTCTTGAATTTTGCAAACAATTTGAGGTTATATCATTCCTTCTAGTGTCTTACCATCTCTCCTGTCTCTGAAGAATTGACCATCTAACAAGGGTGTTATCTAGAAGTGATTCCACAACAGTCCATAGATGTATTTCTGGTTATATCACTTTCAAGTTCAACCAAATTATTTTCATATCTACTCATTATTACCCCTCCTACGCTTTCATGTCTCATTACATCTTTCTCCACACAAACTGTTGATCTTCTTCAATGGTAACCTTACAATTACACTATCATCGCCCAACGGCTACTCGCCAATGATAAACAGATGTAAATACAATTGTACAGCTATTGAAAATGAAACCATACAAATGAAACTCTCTGCTCCCCATCATCTTACTTCACATGACTGACTTTCTATGGGGATATTTCAGTCACATTCAAAAACAGATACTGACCAATATTTTATTAAACACCAACATTTAACATTACCACTTCATACTCCTCTTTCTTATACAAGCCACCTGGAACACTTCACTTGATTGCTTCAATTCATATCATCGTCTTCAAGTAACACTATATCCCCACCATTTTGTCCATTCCATATCATGTTCACTTTTTGTATTCAATAGGACATTGACTTCATTCATTGCTGAAATTACCCCCACTTTAGTCTACGCCTACTTATTATCCTAGAATATTCGATGACGTTTCCAATAAACATTAGACATGATCAACTACTCTTCTTACTCTTCATTCATACATTCACTTCAGCCAATTTAATTAAGAAATAATAATGATAATAGTAATTTCATTTATTTTCCTGTACACTCAATATCTTTTGTCAACCTGAAAAAGGCATATAAACCATTTCGATACATTGTCATACTGAAATTGAAATTGAGAGAGACTACAAGCAGTAAATAAACCACTTCACAAATGAAACCAGATTCATAGCCTTACTCTTCTCAATCTAATCAACCAAATAAAAAGTCCCCCTGATAACTTGATATACGAAAAAGACAAGACGTGGTTACAGTGAAGAAAAATTTTTCATTCAACGAAGTCATTTACTACTAAGCTGTACATTCATGAATATATGTTACAGTGGGTAGAATGTTTCAGAATTGTTTCCGGTCAGGAGGTGAAATATATTGAATGACTAGAGGAAGTAAATAATTACACAGATTAGGGGGGAAATAGACAGGGGGTTATCAAGTTAAGTGTAATTACGTAATACAGGATGAATGTATGGCAAAGTAGGAAACTGAACGGAGGGTTATGAAGATAGAATTGCAATTATGTAACACTGGATACACCTTTGACAGAGTATGAAAATAAACAGAGGATCATGAAAATAGCATTGTAATTACATAATGCAGGTTAAATTTATAACAGAGTAGAAAAATGAATGAGGTTAACAAAAGGAATCTGTGGCATACAGGGCGGGCTTTATAATGTCCATGGCAAAGATTGGTAAAGGTTGAATGTACCTATTTTGCACGCATAACGCTGGTTTTAACTTCCAGATGGCTAGTGCTTAAGCTACAGACAGATGCTCTGTAGAGAATGTTGAATGACCTCTCGAAAGGAGATAAGTGACCTGAGTTCAGGAGGTGTTCTGTTATCGAAATGAAGATGCATTTCCGTTCTCCCCTTGAAAGCCAAGCTGGGTAGTGTTCGTCGAGATGTTTTCATATATGTGATAAACTGAATATTTCATGCGACAAGTAATGTTTTACTAGTCGTCTTCAACATCGTGAAGTGACTAGGGTGAAAGGTGGACACCTGACTTAATTTCGAAGTGATTCCCTTATCAAACAGATGATGATAATAATAATATCATTATTATTATGAATACATTTAATTAAGGTATTAGATCAGCATGAAATTGGTTGATATATGAAATACAAACGAATCTTTCACGTTATATTTGAGTGAACACATACACTATGACAAACACACACACACACACACACGAAAACTTCTGTTGTAGTAAAGGTCTGAATAAATGTCTAACACAGTGACATATTGGAATATGTGAGGGAACATTAGCTGATATAAGAATATTAGGTGCACCTTGATCATGAATGCCAACGAAAGTGCAACTTAAATTCATGACATCCTGTACATTCTCTTGTGATGTTTATCACTGAGTATAGTGGTCACAGTGTAAATCTGATCGACGTATATATACATATATCAACATTCAGCTATATACTGACAACTTCATAGATTGTTTACTGTGACCAAGTTTTACTCAGCTTTTACCAAAGTGTGACAGTGTTTCAAGCTGTTCACTTACGCATTGCTTCCAATCCAGTCACCTTTGACTGGTTCACTTACCCACTATACCCGCTTTTTCAATTTGCACACCAAACATATGTTATAGGGTAAGCACATTGAGAAGACATTCACTTCAAATACAAACTGATATATTTCTATTCCACTTGACTGATATAGTAACAGTATAATGAAAAAGAAACCGAAATCCCATGTGTAATAAAAGTGAGCTGTTTCTGTAGACTGATAAACAAACGTGCGAAGCAGCAGAAATGGGAATTAGAAGTGACCATATTGGTAACTCAGTACACTAAAGAGATTTGGATAGGTTCGCTCATCTACCACTGACTGTTTGCTTTACTACTCAGTATTCTCAAATTAATTGTTCTCTTAGTAGGCTACGAGCATCAAGCTATTCACAGATGATAATGCAAAATCCTATGAAACGCGCTTCTCTCACAACACTTTTCGTTTTACTCATGAAGACCTTAATGGTCATGAAAGCAGTGGTTCAAATAATTCTCAGTTGAAGACTGACTGACTGATTGATTGACTGAATAGCAAGTTAGTTCGAGAGAATATCAGATACTTTACGATGCGTGTTGTTAATGGAATCAGGTAACTCACTACTAATTGTACCGGAGCCCATTGACAGACAATCTGATGACAGGTGGCATTTCAAGTGTGAAAATACACGTTTCAAGCATTTTATTTTCCTCATTGTGAATAAGATTGTCTTATTTTTCAAGTGATTTCACTTTGATTGAGTACAATTATAAGGACATATGTAAGAGAAGTGAGGTGGGGCGGGATGGGGTGTAGTGGCATGGACTGAGGAAAGATTGAAACATTCAGCCGCATATATGTGCATGTTGGTCAGGATAATTTCAACAGCTCATATATATCTATAATGCCAATTGACAGGGTCGGGTGAAACTGTGTACCAATTTCGACACATACAATCATGATGATGATGATGATGATTCGGTTATTTGTGAAGAAGAGACTGCAACACTGAAACAGGTCAAATATCCGTCATTCATTTTTCATAAGGGAGGAGATTAATAGTGTAGTGTAGACTGTGTAGGTTGAATTTTTAATGTGATGCTGATGGGGATAGGGGTAGGTTGTGAGTGGGAGTGGGAAGATGGATGCAGTGGCATGAAAGGAGGGTGTGTGTTATGTGTGTTATGCCAGTCGAAAAGTGGAAATTAGATTAGAATGTGGATCACATCAAATAAATGTCACTGATCGCATTACATTTCAAAAATAAGAATCATTATCATGATTACTTATTTTAACAGACTGCTTGCTACATTGTAACAGGTCAGCTGTCGTCTGTCATCCATTTCATAACGAGAGGATTAGTGGTAAACGTGGCTGTAGTAGTAGTAGTAGCTGTGAGAAAGTGAAATTTATAATCTGATAATCTGAGTGTTGTTATGGTTGTGGTTGCAGGGGTGGGAATAGGTGTAGGGGGTTGGGTGTGGGTGGGGTGGGGTTAGAGGTAGGGGTATAGTGACATGAATGAATTCTTACAAGTAACATTTCAATGGGAAGTCAGTCATTTCTGTGTAGGTGAAATACTATACCTTTAATTGTGACACCAGTTTTCAGTGTCTAATAATGATACATAGACTTCATGTTAAACCCACCACCTTTGCGTTTACGGATCAGACAATCACCTCTGTTGTTTTGAACACTACACAAAATTGAAATGAGGAACGCATGTGATGCTATGAGGTCAATGTGCACATAGCTTATTCATGAAAGAAGTTCACTGTGAATTGAATTACATCCACCGAGAATCGTGTCATTATCGTGAGCACAACTGACTACCTTCCCTGACTGATGCCTTATTCCATCCTCATCTTGTGGTGCTACGTCTTACTCTGAATTATTATTAGGACATTTAGAGTTCACGGCTTCCCATTAACAACAACCATTCATCAGGCTATTGAGGCAGTTGGCTTATTCGTGAGAAGAATGAACAGTACTCAAATGACTGTCACCTAGTCAGTCATTCATGCCTCACCTGCTGCTTGACAACTAATCCGTCTCATCTATTTCTAGCTGATATTCAATGAAACGACATTCCACGTGTGGCGTGTGCATGGGTGTGTGAGTAAATGCATGACTGACGGAGACGGACGTTTGTTGGCTCACTTGAAAGGGTGAATGAATCGAGAAAACATTTTTGATCCTGTGATTATGTAAGGTAGTAGTAGTAGTAGTAGTAGTAGTAGTAGTAGTAGTAGTAGTAGTAGTAGTAGTAGTAGTAGTAGTAGTAGTAGTAGTAGTAGTTGATTCATGATTTCGCGTTTTCATGCTGATATATTTGTAAAAAACTGAACTGAAATGAACTTGCCATCATTTCGGAATTTCATAGTAGACCCAGTGTCAGATGACATCGAATGACACCTGAATATCCTTGCAATTCAGATACAATAGTGTAAATAAGTAGACATTGTGACTGTTCCAGAACGTGGATAACTGTGGATGCTGACAGTTGAGGGTAACTGGTGCGAAAACACGCTGAAAACATTTGCTAATTTATAAAAGTGAGGCGAGATGTGCTGATGGGTGGGTCGGACAGGTGGCGTGTCAGTTATCGTTATTGCACTTAGAAACCTGAATTCGAAAACTTCTTTGTGCATGATAACATATTGAGAATGAGGTTGAAGACATTTTAATGACTTCTTAGGTAATTCTGTCTACTTGAATTTTCCTATCTCACCTGAATCATGCCTTAGCCATCATTTGGTAATCTTCTTCCTAACCATTAAGCATAACTATTAGTATCAACCTATATCACCTACTCAGCGTTAACCAACTCAACTATTCCTAAATCAATCCCAGTTGAAGTTTCCACTGATAATATTGTCTAACATGAACATGAACATGAGCGTGAGCGTGAACATCTCGTGATGGAATTTAGGCTTCTAGTTGCTTGCTCATTGTCACCATCCAACACACATCTATCAGAGCATACTGCAATGGCAAGTCTTGTAGATTAGCAGTTGCACTACAAATTCGTCAGGACTGGAGAATGATCAGTCAGTCTCCAAAATCATTGACTTCCTGTGTATCTCACGACGAAATGACTGTCCGGTATAGTGACGTGAAACAATCCAACAAATGTTATAATATTACTGTTTTAAATGAGAAGATATTCGAGAAGAGAATATACTGAGTGTTTCATCAAGTAAGTGAAGCATCTAGGATATTACTAGCCTAAATAGCTAACGAACTTCATACAAAACGAATGTCATAGTGGTTCACAGTGAATGTCCTTCTATACATACCACAAAACCTCTGGATTACCGTCAGTGGTTTCACACTATTTGTGTTATCAAGTAGTAAGTAGTCCAACTGTTGAAGACTACCCACAAAACTAACGGAATCTGTAACAGAAGTTATGAATAAAGTTTCAAACCACTTTTACCATGCACAATTACAAGAATATTAAATTTGAACCTGTTTAAAAATCTTTTTATCATATCAAGGTGTACAACACTAAGTATAATCTATTGTTTTACACGAGTTTATCTATTCATCTGAATCTTTTCTTTTTCATTAATAACCTGAAATACAAGAATGAAAATCAAATGAAATTGTTCAGAGTAGATCAGTTTGCATTATCACTGTCTTCAACGTAATCAAATCTGTTGTCTGGTGAAATAGGTTACAATTTCATACAATTTCAGTCATACCTTCTACACAAATTTCATCAACAAAATAATCAGTCAGAGGTAATCTGAATAAAAATATTGAAGACTTTTGTTGAAAGTTTTAACAAATCACCTTCAATATATACACAAGTGTAAGTAGATTCTGCTGCACTCAGCATGTGGAACAAGATCCGGATTTTCAACACCAACGTCAAGTCAGTGCATCTGTATGGTTCAGAGACTTGGCGCTTTACGAAAGGCACTTCCAATAAACTACAGACATTTATCAACAACTGCTTACGCTGGCTCGCTACTGAAGATTACATGGTCAGAAAGAATAAGCAACTAGGAGCTCTGGGAACGAACCAACCAAGAAACTATTATTATTATTATTATTAGTCCCTTGGGTTCCTAGTGGAACATAGGGCTTCAGTAGCACGCCTCCAGTGACCTCTGTTCTCTGAGATCTTTTGAACCTGGTTCCACGACAGCCCACAACCTCTCATTTCCTCCTCGCATGACCTCCTCCATGTCACCCTCGGACGTCCAACTCGTCGCTTCCCATGGGGATTCCACTCGAGGGCCTGACGCGTGATGTCCTCAGTCGGCCTTCTCAGTGCATGGCCAATCCATCTCCACTTCTTCCTGCATATTTGTTGCGTGATAGGTTCTTGGTTGGTTCGTTCCCAGAGTTCCTTGTTGCTTATTTTTTCTGGCCATCTGATCTTCAGCAGCGAGCGTAAGCAGTTGTTGATGAATGTCTGTAGTTTATTGGAAATGCCTTTCGTGACGCGCCAAGTCTCTGAGCCATACAAGAGCACTGACTTGACGTTGGTGTTGAAAATCCGTATCTTGTTCCACATGCTGAGTGCAGAAGATCTCCACACTGGTTTCAGGCTAATGAACGCCTGTCTTGCTTTTCCGATTCTGACTTTGACGTCCTCGTCCGTCCCGCCTGTAGTTGAAACAGTGCTTCCTAGATAAGTGAAGGAGGTTACTTCCTTCAAGTTTCTCCCGTTGACGGTGATTGGAGTTTGTTGTTGTTGTTGATGTTGGTGGTGCGGTATCTTCATCACTTCTGTCTTCTCTATATTCACCTGAAGTCCCGTCTTAGCTGCCTCTTCTGTCAACTTGTTAGTTTTTGCCTGCAGATCTTCAAGTTTATGTGACATTAGGCATAAGTCATCGGCGAAATCCAAGTCTTCTAGGTTCTTTTCCGTCGTCCAGTGTATCCCCCTCTTCTCGCTGCCTACTGTTTGCTGCATGATCCAGTCCACCACAATAAGGAATATCATGGGGGATAGTAGGCAACCTTGTTTCACTCCTGTCTTCACTTCAAAGGCATCACTGAGCTTCCCATTGTGGATTACTTGGCATGTGGCATCTTCATATAGTTGTTGAATGAGGCGGATAAAGGTTTGCGGTACTCCGTAGTATTGAAGCAGTTTCCAAATTACTTCTCGGTCGACGCTGTCAAAGGCCTTCTCAAAGTCGATGAAGTTGAGGTATAGAGCTGATTGCCATTCTACGCTCTGTTCTATGATGATACGAAGCGTTGCAATTTGGTCAGCACATGATTTGTACTTCCTGAAGCCTGCCTGTTCCGGTCGCAGTTTTGAATCCAGTGCGTCTTTAAGCCTCTCCAGGATGATGCGGCTTAATATTTTACTTGGGGTGGATAGGAGAGTGATTCCTCGCCAGTTCTTGCAAGCACTGAGGTCTCCCTTCTTCGGCAGTTTGACAAGGTAACCCTTCTTCCAATCGTCAGGTACCTTCTCTTCCCTCCACACCTTCTGCAATAGTGGTGTGAGCATGTCCGCTGTTGTCTCTGCATCTGTTCTCAGTGCTTCTGGCGGTATTCCATCTGGTCCTGCTGCTTTCCCGCATTTCAGTAGCTTTATGGCGTTCAGGACTTCCATTTTCGTTGGGGGATTTATGTTCACTTGTAATTCAGCGGCTGCAGGTGGTATTTCTGGACGAAGTGCAGGTGGTGGTCGATTCAAGAGCTTCTTGAAGTGGTCGGCCCATCGTTTCCTCTGTTTCTCTTCTTTTGTAATTAAATTTCCTTCTTCATCTTTTATTGGTTTCATCTGTGTTGGTCTCTTCCCTGATAGCAACCTGGTTATTTGATACAATGTCGTCAGGTCTCTCTTACCTGCAGCCTGTTCTGCTTCACTTGCCAGTGTGTCGTAGAAGTGTCTTTTGTCTTTGCGTGCACTCTTCTTCACTTCTTTATCCAGTGTTTTATACATTGTGCTCAGTTCCTCTTGTCGTTGAGCATCCTTGCACTGGTTTATCTTCTGCTTCACCATCCTCCTCTCCTCTATCAGCTTCCAGGTATCCGTCGAGATCCATTCCTTGTCTTCTTTCTTCTTCCTTCCTAATACTGTTGTGCAGGTTTCTTTCCACATAGCTTTCAAAGACTTCCAGTGTTCTTCCACACAGGTTTCTTCAGGGATGTCCCTCGACGTCTCCCATTTTGTCTTGATGGCTGCTTTGAAGATCTCCTTTGTAGTTTCATCCTTCAGTTTCCGAGTGTTGTACTTGAATTGAGGTCTATCACCAGCTTCCTTGAAGGCTTTTAACTTGATTTGGAAGGTTCCTTGCACTAGATAGTGGTCTGAACCTACATCTGCTCCTCTTCTTGACCTTGTGTTAAGTAGACTGCGTCTCCATTTTCTTGAGATTGAGATAAAGTCGATTTGATTTTTAGTGTGTCCATCTGGTGAAATCCATGTCGCTTTGTGGATATCCTTGTGCCTGAACACACTGCCTCCAATCACCAAATCGTTGAATGCGCAGAATTCTGCAAACAATTCTCCATTCTCATTCATTTCACCTAGCGCCTCTCGACCCATGGTTAGTTCTCTTCCCGTGTTGTCCCCTCCCAGTTTGGCATTCATGTCGCCCATTAGAATTTTGATATCGCCAACTGACGTCTTGTCCAGTGTTGACTGAAGTTGTCTGTAGAATTCCTCCTTTTTCTCTTGCTCTGCATTATTTGTAGGTGCATAACATTGTATGATTGTGACCTTTCTTCCTTTTGAGTTGAATCTTGCTGTCATGATCCTGGAGGAGATTGGTTCCCACTGCATGAGAGCCTTCGATGCTCTTGAGGACATCATGATAGCCACTCCCTCAGTGTGCTCGTGGTTGGCGTCTGGGTGACCGGAGTAGATTATTGATTCTCCAGTTGACAGTTTGGAGAGTCCACTCCCATTCCATCTGCTTTCGCAAATCCCAAGCACTTCGATGTTATACCTTCTCATCTCCTTTGCAATCTGGGCTGCCTTACTGGGTTCAAACATCGTGCGGACATTCCATGTCCCCACGTTTACTTTCGCTTTCATCGAGAGAAGACACATCGGCCAATTGGCTTCCCGAAGGCTTTCACCAACTGGCGTCATTTCGCCTCTCCGATTCCAGCGGGGAATAAGTTTGTTTTCATTTTTTATATTTTGTTTGTGCTTTGAAGTTTCTTTAGCGGTTAGATTTGTTTTACGGGGTAGGGTTGCTAGCCCTATGCCCAACCTTCCCTCTTTACCCGGGCTTAGGACCGGCTAGTAACTAGTAAACTAGTTAACCAGGCGAGGTTAACCAAGAAACTATCAAGCAACAAATATGCAGAAGGAAGTGGAGAAGGATTGGGTATGCACTAAGACGTGCTACTGAAGCCGTATGTTCCATTAAGAACCCAAGAGACTGATAATATGATAATAAATGTGTAAGTAGATAGATTTCTGATCACATTACTAATAATGATGCCCATTCTTCACCTGTTGATAAATGAAACTTTGAAATTCTATTTATTCACCAATATCCAAATGAATCCAATCAGTCCTTATCAACTAGTCTTTGAATACTGAATAGTTTGTTTTAAAGAATCCACTTTCATTTTGCTACTGTTCTTATGAGGTTGAATAAAATAATCATAAATTTCGATTACCAGTGATAAATTATACATTTCTAGCTTATTTTCAAATCAATAATATCCTTTCCATTTCCATCATACATAAATAATAAAGAGAATTATATAATTAACTTGTATATTTAAACACTGTTGTTTGTTATGTTATGTGTTTACTTTGTGAAAGTGGATTGAGACAATCTTGTTTGTAGCCAAGTGAAGTAGGTATATGAAGGCACTGATCGCCTTTCTCTCACTAAATAGTCATAGAGTTTATGAGACTAGTTTCTTGCTACGTAATGATCGTGAACTGAGGTCATCTGAATTCATGTAACTGATCTTAGTGAGACTCGGACAGAATACCCATAAGAACGAATCACTCCAAAGTTATCATTAGACTGTCAAATGCAGATAGCCACCCACTGTCCCATTTACTATTTACTATTGGCTGTCGTAATCCAGTATCTCAGTGAATTAATTTCTGCCGACTAACCTTATCAGTGATGGATTCAAGTTTCAGTAAACTAGTGAAAGCTGTAAGCTTTCTACATCCGACAACCTATGTAGATGATTCCACTGATACCAACTTGTGAACATGATCAGAAGAAAACAATTAATCATGTTGACAAGAAGGCCCTACACAAACAGAATCTGATCAGTTCAGTTCTGTAGGTCCATCAAGTTTTACATCAAGATCAGTGAAGTAGTTCATCACTATTGTGTCCATTACGCTTATAACTAAGAACCTTTGAATGCTCTTTATAAATACTTCATGTAGTCTGATTTATTGCCTCCTTCCTATATGAAGCATATTCATAGGTAAATAGACAAATAAAATGCAGAAATACATATTACAAATAAACGTGTTACCTGTTTCTCTCGGATCCATATGTATCTTTTCACCTGATACACATTTATGAAGATTCTGTTTAAAAGAATATTCACTCTCTTATAAGAATAAATAAAAGCGGTTTCATTGAAGAATTCAAAATCCTCTGAACTGATTCATCAATTCATCAAAGCTCTGATATTTCAACAGTGTTTACCTCAATGAATTACACATGCACACTATGAAGTATTCTATCTAATCAAACAAAGTATTCTGCTATCTGACTTCATTCAACAAACTACACATATATCTCGAAGTTTTATTTGTAGCCAATTGATACACGAACATTATACTGCAATAATTGCACGTTATAATCTGACAAAAAGTACACAGTAGGCCCTACTTGGATGTACTTAAGATATCTAGTACTTGTACAACAGGAGTGGTGAATAGAGTATTGCAAGAGATACTCAATTACTGTCGAAGGTAATTTTTCACCTTCAAGTAAATTATGTGAGGTAGTCAGTACTTGGAATCATTGTAATCTACATCGTCCAGTAGATTGTTATTCAGTTATCTAGGTTTGAATACATCAATGTTTTTCATCTATTCCCTTATTTATACTTGAATAGAAATATAAAGTTGACTGTGAAATACAAACAGCATATATGTAATGCTCAAATTAACTGAGAATCATTCCCATTCGCTTACATCTCATTATATAATGGGAAATGTTTTAGTTGGTGCTGTAATTGTACAACTGTTACATGTGTTCAACATGTCAAACAGGTAAAGCAAAGTTCTCATTGAGCATAAATGACAATATGACAACAAGTTTACTAATTTCATCCATAAACAAATAATAAAATTACAAATTATTCATACATTTTACTGCAATAAATAGTTTGCTATATCTATATAAAGGGTAACTGCCAAATTTCATTAGAGATTACAAGTGTGTAAGGAAGAAGAGATTATCTACTCTCTTTACTCTAAGCAATCTACTTAACATTCGATGCCTAGTTAAATCAATTTGCTAGGCTACCTGACTAGAATTATTCTACTACTATACTGAGCTATAATTATGACTCCTCGAAACGTCTCCTACATTATTACACTTTCCATAAGTCATATATGTCATATAATTTCTTTCTTAAATACCAAACTTCCATATATTGAATACCTCCATGTGGAACCAATACAAATTGATTGAAGAAACATCTCTCTCCAATTAACGTGCCAACAACGACTGTACACAATGTATACAGTTTTTAACAGTTACTATTATTATTATTATCATAAGGATAATATTTTTGAGGTAGTGGACTACTGAATGATGCCTGCAAAATCAAACTGAATTATGAGGCTTATAGTAATTTAGAGAAACAGGTATGCATAAATAAGTAGAATAATCTCAAAAAGGAAGGATTAAGAGAAAATGTGTAAAAACAGAATGAGTATCAGGTTGTGCTAGACTACTGAATATACTACAATGTAGAGAGAAATGAATTGCTTCATCAAGTGGATATATCAAGTCAAGGTGTTAGAAAAGATGAAAGGAAATTACTCAGTTGAGCGAAATAGGTAAGATCAGCTATAATTTTTCAAAGTTTACTCAGTAGAATAAATCGAGATGTAACTTCACTTTGGTAGTGAAGGCGATTAAATGAGTTGAGTGGCTTCGATCCTGTGTAGTAGACGGAATCGTGAACTATATGGAAGATCAGGTGGTTATGAAGTTGCTTTTCTTTTATCCACATGATAACGTGTACCCTTAAATGAGCAAGTAAGCAGTTTAATATGATGTTTATTTATTCTCCAATCAATCATGATGAGTGGTGATCGGATATTTGACTATGAGCTTACACCCTTGCTACCACTATGTAAATAGCCTAACAGTATCAAGTAAACTGATAAATACACATGGATAACTTTAAACTTATAATCTATCTCTACTTGTTGCACTACTGAATGTTCTCTAAGGAACTACTTTCGAACACTGTGTCACTGTTTCATTCATGTTGCTTTTAAACAACACGCACGTTTCAAGGAAACAGGTCTCATGGAAACTGTTGTCATTATTTGCCTAACCTTTGCCGCCTACGTCATGTATTTACTCACAAACTTGATTTGAATCTACTTTGGCAAAGTACGTTCCAGACATTATCGTCTACCTCTTCATTAAGAGTATCATAAGAACGAAATACTTTTTACGCAATGAACTGAATATTTCATCATATTGTACTCACATCTCAGAGGTATATGATTGAGGACGAGATCATACTGATGAGTGGATAATGGTTTGCTAAACCTAACCTAATTTTACTATTTCATCCAGACTTCGTATTGGTAGGATATTCAGCAATCGAATGCTGTTGTTTCATTCTTCTTGCACGATGAAGATAATTTCTAGGTGAACACGAGTGAAATAGTCAAGAAAGGTATCCTTACCACCTGAGTCTCTAAGGCCTATGTTTCCATGTAACTATTACAAAATTCAGTCTGATTAGTTACTACTTTCAGGAAATATTACTCATCTTGATGAGAAAAAAGTCTACATATGTATCAAAGACAGTGATGATCAAAGAGTCACATCATTCAACTGTCTTCCGAAACTAAGTGTTCAGATTGAAATATACATTCTTCTGATTTCCTAATCACTACCAACCAACCCATTACCATGAACATGATATTCTTCAACTACAAGTTAAAACTTATCTATTAGGATGGAGTCGTTGGTGGGAGTTAGCTGGTGGAATCAAAACCCTGTAGACCACTGAAATTTGACTCAATGTCTGAACAGCTAATAAGCTCGCCTTGAGATCTGAGTGGGGTGATCAATTCAATCCCTAGAGCTGTTAGTGCTGTATACTACTTAAGGTGTCCCAACTTCTCACTAGTTCTTCAATTGGTGTTAGTCGCATTTGTAGACAACATAACCAGTCGATCCCAAAACTTATCAACATGAAATTCAAGCATTAAAAATAACATGCTCGAACTGTTTCACTAATTATCACTTGAATAATAATGACGATAAATAAACATGTAAGAGGTTAGTTTCACAAAGATGATAAGAGAGAGAAAATAATGATAACACATAAACTACCTGACACATATATTTCGGCTGGATTTCAGAACCGATCAACTCTAATACTTTCTGCATATACTCATCACCATGATCAATACACTGAAGGATAATAAACAAACAAAAAATGTTTTGTAAAACTGTCAGTGAAGTCAATACGCTCTAGGCTTTTACTTATATTAATAACTGAAGTGAAATGTAATAAAGTTCAATAGTTCACTAATTATTCTTACAATGTAATCACCTTTAATATTTTGTATAAATAAGTGATATGATCATGTATTTTGTTAAAAAAAAACATCTACTACGTGTTTTACATATTCAAAAAATAAACTTGATGCCAAGTGATATGAATAGTGTAACTTTGTGTTTCACTAGTCAATCAGACATTTTGGTGTAACCAAGTGAACAGCATTTAACTGCTTGTTTTTACAAAACCTAAAGTTATCACTAATGTATCTGCATTGATTCAGCGTACACACTGATCGAATTTGTCAAATCTGAATAACAACAAGGAGTTGATAGTTTCAAGAATCAATTTGATGCTCATCTACTAACTAGTGGTATTCGAAGCGATCCGAAATGTGGTTTTCATGGAATATTGATACCTTTCAACAGTATTCCATCCCCGATAGTCTTACACAGACATATGGTTTTCATAATAAACACTGGATCCAGAATCTTGATCCTCTGAGATAAACTTTGACATATTGGTGAAACTGTTGTTCCAGCATTGATTGAACCATCGTCTAATGCTTAAATAACTTGAATGCAATCGACAAGTTTCTTATGTGAATAATGGAAGTAGCATTTCATATACCAATCTGACTAATTAATATTTGTGTAGAAGATTATTTCCAATGGAATCCTTTAAGGATTTACAACTACGTTCAAGTTAATAATAACTGGCGAACAGGGTAGACGTTGATGGCATCACAAATCTTTATGTAGATTTTTGTACATACATACAAATATCAATGTTGTTCATGAAATTAAATTAGTCTGAAATTGTTTGTGAACATCCATGAATAACCTGAGTATAATGTTAACCCCGTATATGTAGGCAACATAAATAAAAATCCTGAATTATTCTGTTAATCAGCCATCACTTCATCTACATATCATAATGTCAGGTAGATGAAGTTTTAAATCTTCTACTGTTTATCAAGTTGAAGAAATTGCTAGTGGTTACCAGTCGGTTAACCTTCATGAAGTTGCCAACTGAGGCATCAAAGTAATAAGAGAGAAAATAAAGCATATTGTGTTTCAAGAAGTTCACTCTTTTATCCAATAAAACCAATGACATTCCACTGATATGCGAACAAATCTTGAATGATGACATCAATATTTCAAATATATACGCTGCTGAAAACAATTACTGAATGAATATTTTACTTCTTTCGTGAAATCCACACATCAGCTTGAGTGGTTTCCAACTACTGAAATTGTTCAAGAGTAGTATATTTCACTAATTGGTTACACTTCTGTGTCAATGTTCTCACCTTTTCATCTTGTCCGAATGATTCTTAGCAGAAACATTGTTAACAGAAAGTAAAGTTGGACGGCTGTAAAACCAATGAGCTTTGAGAAATATTGAACGTGTGGAGTGGGTAATTTGTAAATCATTTACATTACTATCATAATATTTTGATTTTTAAGTGTTTTCTAATCAGTAAATACTTTAAAGATTGACAACGCTCATATTACTGCTGATAACGTCTAAGCAAGGAAGTTGTTCACTTAATTATGTTGTCAGTGAATCTTCAAAATAGGTTCCAAAATCTTCCATTTATTCTCCAGTGACTAGTTATGCGTTTAGTGTAACATGATTGATACCATACTACAGTTGAATACATATTCATAGATCATTTATCAAATAAGTTTTTTAACTCACGAAATTCTTCACAGTTCCAGGAGATAAAAATGTACATAAGTATGTAGTAAACATTCCATAGAGTTGTTTCCAGTAATCATCTGTCAGTGCATAATGGATACTACTGAATATAGATAAACAGATTTTACAATCTATGAAATTGAAAAATATAGTTCACATATGTTTACAGTTAGAATATACAAAATTGTATTCAACAGAATAGGAAATACAAAGTGATATGTGTTACAGGTGAGAAGATTTAGTCGAAATAGACGGTGATCAAAAAAAGTAGAAAGACATTTACCGTATCCTCATTGAAGTGGTTAGTCAGTATGCAACTACAAATGAATCCCATAATCATCTCTATACGCTAATGCCATAGGCTTGGCTTACTCAGAGGTAATCACGTCGCAAATATTGTAAAACTGATTTAAAGTGACTCTTGTTGCATTTTACTGTTGTGTTGTTTGGCAACGTTTTAAAATTACTATCTGCCATATATGCGTACAGACATTATGGAGTCTAGATTTTCCAAACAACCTTTGGTTACACCCTTCATTATCTTCATTGTCATCGAAACATTATTTCCTACCATTTGTGTGAAAAGTACCAAGAGAAATAATAAACTCACTTGAATGTAGCATAATTGTTCACACTGCACTAAGGTGTATTCTCAAGGCTGGATAGTCTTTTTGTCTTATGGTTCATGAATGGTTGATGTCACTACTTCATAACAAGATCATATTATTGGAATTTTCTCTGCTTTTTACTTAGAAAGATTTTCGAGTGAGTTTTAGCATTCCATTACCATTATATTGGTCTAAGAACTTCAATAATGTGTTGGTTAGGACTTTAATATTCTCTTCCATCGAATCTCCTTCTACTTGAGAGACATTGTGTCAAATGTCTTCTGAGATAAGTTAGAAAGAAACTATAGAAAGTCGAGTACTGTGTACTTCACTTAATTAGCTAGTTTCTTGTCATGTGATAGATAATCCAGTTCGGTCTATTACTCTACTATTTCCTTTCAGTGAATGAGTAATATACTCCAACGTGCTGTATATGGCTATGCTTTTATTCATATAAGTCTTGCGTAGTGGACCTTTACAGATTAAACTGTTGACCATACTCTGTGTAAGCAACATACACTTCTGCACTAAAATTTGTGCAATGACTTTCTGTAACAATATTGTTAACTTAAAAATCGTGTATCGCTTTAAACATGAAACAAACGTTACAGTGAACATTGGTAACGGTTTTACGGAATACGTGAAAGCAACAAAACAGACTGTCAACAAGATATCGAAACTAACTTGATGTTTTTTGCTTCAAGTTTCTCTTGATAATTAATCTCCTCCTCATTTGTATGGCAGAGTTGCAAGGTGTAGAAAAAACACATTCTCCTATTCTCATCATATTAGTCCGATATCTCTTATCACTATAGTTGTTTTTCATTAAAACTTGTTCTACTTACATTGACACATTGAACATCTCAAAGTACCAAGCATTGAAATCAAACAACCTACTGCTAAGCTTCTCTCAAGAAGGTAGTGAAAGGTTACTTAGTACTTTATGTTAATTTATCCCTAATGATTTTCCTTTAAATCCAAGTATAACAAATATTGGATAGACTTTACAAATCATCATCTATTGTAGAAGGTTGGGTCTAAAACCATTTGAATTTAAAACGTTCCTACTGCAAAATTATACAGAATGGGTTGAAATGTATAAAAGAAGCTCTTGGCAATGACTTCAAAAGACTTTTGGCTGAGATTATATGAAGGAAAACCGAGTTGGTGGGTAATAGATAATCTACAAGTTAGTCGAATCTCATCTAATCAGCTTTGTACTAATATAGTGTAAATCATTCACATAATATTGGTAAGAACCTGGGTTCTCACATGATATGCATAGTATAGAGTGGTAAACACTGGACACTTCGCATATATGAATGATGATGGATGTGTAGTATACAAAATAATCTTTCACATAACACATCCATATACCAAAACTAAACCCATTCGCACTTTCGTAAACGAATAACTGGTTGCTGAAAGTTGTGTAGAACTCACATGCTGTACATGTCTATATACTTCAGCTTAACTTACAAATATTTAACGGCGTAATCCTACTGATCGATATTTTCATGTCGAAATTGTTTGTACTGATAAGGAATTTCATATAGTTAACAGTAAATGGGGATAACACTTCGTCAGACAACATACAGATGTTTATTCAATCGTAATTTTTTTCTGACAAAATTCGAAACCATTATTATTATTATTTGATTATGTTAAAGACATTCGGTATATGATGTGGAATTATAGGTGAAGGATAGCCGTGCTGAGTAATCACTTCAATGTGCCCAATGAATTTCTTAATAATTTTTCCAATGTTGATCTTGACATGGTAACACTACAAGCATTATCTCTGGGTCCTAAGTTTTGTGACAGTCATATTACACCTAACAGAATAAACACTCAAGTCCAGTTTGAAAATTTATACTCACAGACAGAAGGCTTATCACCTTCTTCAAGTGAGGAGGTAGAAAGATTCAAGTCTACTCTGGTTGACTGTTGCTACAAATTTATGAATAGTAACAGAATGCTAGAAGCATCTTGACTAGAAAACATAGAGAAGCCTTACGTAAACTCCGAATGAATGAGGATCTGCTGATCACCAGGCCGGATAAAGGCTCAGGGGTGGTTATTATGAACAAAGCCGAATACCTAGATAAAATGAACAGACTTCTCAGTGATGACAGTAAATTTCAGAAACTACCAACCAATACTGACATGACAGAGAAGACGGAGAGGCAATTATCCGAATCCTTAAAAAAGCTGAACAGCAAGGCTTCATTTCACAAAATGAGTATGAAACACTCAGACCTACTGGCACAGTAACACCGAGGTTGTATGGTTTACCAAAGGTGCATAAGAATGGATTACCACTCCGACCGATTCTCGACATGTCAAACTCTCCATACCATGCGACGGCGAAATGGCTAGTACAACTCTTGAAACCATTGCATAAGGAGGTTGTAAAGCATAGCGTCAAAGATACTTTTCACTTTATCGATAAAATAAGAGATTTGAATGTGAATAAGTCGATGATATCCTTAGACGTATCATCCCTATTCACAAATGTCCCTCTGATGGAAACAGTGGACTTCATATGTAGCGAACTGGAAAAGAGAAACATAGAAATTGGAATTACGGCATCCACCTTGAAAGAGCTTCTCTTACGATGTACAATGAATGTACACTTTCTCTTCAATAAGGAATTCTATAGACAGTCAGACGGTGTCGCTATGGGGTCACCACTAGGCCCAATCTTAGCGGACTTCTTCTTAGCAAAATTAGAAAATGGCCCTCTGGAAAGCATCATAAGCGGGTTAGAATTTTATTGCCGTTATGTAGATGATACATTCTTGATTGTGAATAATGAGGACGATGCAAGGATCATACTGGATGAATTCAATGGCGTCCATCCAGCAATAACCTTCACTATTGAAACAGAAAGTGACGGCAGCATCACCTTCTTAGATGTCCGATTGACAAGGAAGGTGGATGGAACTATAAAAAGAAGTGTGTATCGGAAACCAACGTCAACAGGTCAATACACCCACTTCTTGAGTTTCGTCCCCTTGCAATATAAACGAAATCTCGTTAAATGTTTGGTCCATCGGGCGAGACTCATCTGTTCAGATGATACTTTTGACGAAGAGCTTCAAATTATCCACGATCTACTCAGTAGTAATGGATATCCAGAAACGTTCCTGGCTAAAAATATGAACACATCCAATATGAAAACCAGAATGCCTACAGTCTCCAAGAAACCATTGTTTCTAAGACTACAATTTCGAGGTGACATCATCAGCGAAATTGTGACACAACGCTTAAGAAATGCCATAAGAAGATCATTTAATGCCGCCAAGTTATGTTGTGTTTTCTACAGCCGGCCGATGATGACCACACGAACTAAAGACAGACTCCCTGACTTCTCCTCTTCTATGTGCATTTACCAGTTCAACTGCTCCTGTGGAGCTAGTTACATTGGACGTACAGTTAGGCAAGTCCGTCGTCGAATCGCCGAGCATCATCCTTCATGGCTAAGTAAGGGGGAAACCAGACTGACACGAAGCTCAATACTCTCTCATCTGATTGACACCGGCCACCGAGTTAACATTCATAATGCCTTTAAAGTTATTTATCACATTCCTTCTCACCTCACCCATCCTCTACGAGTCCGTCTTTTACATACAGCAGAAGCCATAGGAATCCACCTACACAAGCCAAGTCTGTGTGTTCAGAAGAGATTCGTACAGCCTCTTTCTTTGCCTTGGCCATCTGTATAGCTCATTTATTACAACAAGACTCTTCATTTCATCCACCACACAATTCACTATAACTAATATTTCAATAGCTCCATTATTATTATTATTATTATTACAGACTTAACCATCTTTCTCTCCCCTACTGTCTCTAATTACCGTCAACAATTTACCATTTTACGTAACAGTTCATTTTTGCTCTTTAGTTATCATTATACAAAATATCAATTATGTAAGAACCTGTTCACAAAATCTTTCTACGATAATTAATCTTTGCTTTAGTTAACTGTCTTAATTACCTGATCAATTATCACCTTCTTGATACTTTGAGATTGATAACCTTTCATTGAACAACTCTCACCACTAGATTGGTATGTAATTTTACGTTTGAAAATGCTATATTAGTGTAGAGCCATTGATGAGGAACTAATTGAAAAGAAATATTTCTTCACTCACATTGATTGTTTTAATAGAGATTGTCTGAGTGATTCAATTTAATTACTCAAATGACTGTAAATTGTATAACATTATCACACTGTAACCTTCTGCATGTCTAGTTTATAAGCAAGTGGAAAGGCTCAGAAACAATCAATGGCGTTCGAAACATTTTTCAGATCATTCTGTCTTCTAATCATCAGTAGATGTTGCCATCACCTGTCTTCTATGCCTTCACGAAGTTTTTCTTTATTTAAACTATCGTGTTTTAGATGAAAAGAAGTGAGAAGTGCTATGCGTCAGCAATTTCATTTGCCTCATTTAATGGTGAATTGGTTGCAATAAGTACATGGAGAAACTAACTTACACATAACAGGGTAATCTTTGATCCTAGTCAAATTTACTACGTTTCCTATCAAAAATAATATTCAGACAAGGCAGATTTCACTTATTCATGACTGTTTAGACATTCAACTTCTACTTACCAACATCAGAAGAATTCCCACTTGAACCAGTTGTCTAAAATGAAAATATAAGCGATATCAGATTGAGTCTATATTAAAGGTTCAATATTGAACTCATCAATTCAAAGGTCTTCATAAAAGGTTTATGCTATTCAACGATGAAACTAAAGAGATGACTGTCTTCTCTGGGTATATACCTTTAACAGAATCTTTTTTCCAATCTAACCAGCAAATAGTGATATGCTTCCCATAGAGATACTTGCTTGCTACGACATTGTAGTCACCTGCACAAAACTCTAAGACGATAGTGTTGACATTACAAGCATAGTGAGCTGATTCATCCCATAACTTCATGTCATGTCAGCATCAAATCATGTTGCATTTCACTGTCTTACAGCAGACATCATTTATTATGAAACAAGATGTAGTGGATAATAATAATAACTAAACAATAAACATAAGATATTCCAAGCTGTCTGACTGTTCACCACTAGTCAGTTTATGACGACTGAATTGCTGCACTTGTTCAAATGTGGTCATTTTGCACAATGGAAAAGTGTCTATCTCTAGAATCTTCTCTACATCCAAGCCTTTATGACATCTTAATCAACTAGTACACAGTTACATTTTGTGTTAGTCCACTCTAGTAGATCATGTATATCACAGATTAACTGACACAAATCTAACTTATTAACGTCATTGTTAAACTCCGTTGTATTTGATGATTAGCTAGAAGAAAGACGAATTACACAGTTACACAGCTGATGAGAAATAGAGTAGTGAGTCATAGTCACTAACTGACTTAGCTACACGATTAACACATGAAGGCAAATCAATATCTTGAGGAAGTAACACCAGTTGTAACTGTTCCCTGAATTCTATTTGGTCTGAGACTATCAGCAGAGAGCCCTGCTTGAAATAGATTTCTTGCTTGTTTGCACCAGTGAGCAAGACGTATGTGAAGCCTCGATAAATCTGATCTCCTGAACAGTGATGTTACAGTCAGCAAAAGATGGAATGAATCAAGCTATTTTGGTTGTCTGCTCTTTCAACTATGCTACATACTATTCACTAACCTTACTTTAAACCATAAAATGTGTGTATAACTCACTGAAATGTCGGTATTTGGCAATGTATATACCACTTGAATGGTGAGAACTAGTAGTACAGAGCATAAAATCACCATCATTATTGAATATGATCAGTAAACAGTATTAACAGAGTTTATATGGCATGGATACACTTGAGTGAGATCAATATTCTTGTACTTTACACTCTGTTGATTTGCGTGATACACTGATTTACATGTATTGCTACACAATAAAATAGTCATATTCTGATCAACAATTCGATGACTTTTGAAGAAATGACTATTAAACTACTGAAATAAGTTGAATAGTAGTAATCGTTAAAGGAGTTGAATAATTAAGCTGCAAGAAGAAATCCTAAAGAGACTCAAGGCTGCTCACCTTGTTAAAATGACTGAGTCTAACCCTTATAATGAGTAAGTTGAACTGCAGAAACGTCAAGATTGAAAGGTTGTGCTGCTTCAAAACAAATAATCGATTAAGAAGTATAACCTGAAATGTCACCTGTTAAATAACCATATACCAACTTAATAGGCATCGAATTTAATAACTCCTGAGAAGGTATACATTATCATGGTGTTCAAGTTACAGAATTCTATCGACAAGTCTAGTCATGAGGATTGAACACGCACATCTTTTCAAAGGATGCATTAATCTGACGTCTGTCATGTGGAAATACTTCCAATAACTGTCTAAGTTTGACAGTGGAATTTGTAAGTAATCTGCAAACTATTTATCCTTTCAAGTTTCCTGACTGCTGCATTTACTTGATTGATGCATTTAGGCCTCTTCGACTGAATTTGATTGGATTAACTGCCGAGAAGCTTGGTTGCAAATAGGCTCACCAGGCATGTCCCTTGGCATCATTGTGATATTTGTAGACAGACATCGAGGTGGTCGAAAGTGGCAACTTGTCCTTAACGCACTCCGGAATGAGTGGTTGACTAGAGAAGCTGGTCTGCAGTTTCGCAGGGAAGAATGTCTTCTTCACTGATCTGGACAGGTGATTCTTCAATATCTCTGCTGCCGTATCACCTTTAAAAACAACCTTCATAAACAAGGTCTTCTTAGGATGTGTGTCTACAAATTTACTTGCTCCATTGGAAGTACTTATATAGGCCACACAAAGCGTATGCTCTCCAAACGTATCTCTCAACACTATCCTACATGGTTGTAGAGGGGAGAATGTAAATCAATTAAAAGTTCAATTCTGGGACATTTGGCCAACTCTGAACAGAAAGCTAGACCAGAATCCTCCTTCTTCAGTATCATTTATCTTGTCACATGGAATAGTTCAAAAGGAGAGTACACCTTCGAGAGTTGTACACAGTGGAGGCACTGGCAATTCATCAATTCAAGCCTGATCTCTGCGTGCAAAACAAGTATGTTCAATCTCTCATCTTACCATGGTCTTAACACTTTCACTATATTTTCGATTTGATTATAATTAATTAGTTTATTATTATCACCTTCATCATGACCCTAGTCTCAGTCTTCACCTTCTTTACTAACATTTATCCATCTATCAAGTGGACACTCAATATTTACGTTTCTTATCTACCAACAATTTTCACCTTGTCGAACTCCTTGCCTTCCTCGATATTTCTACTGTCTTAGTTTATCATGCAACTACTTTGCATTCTCGTCGGTCACTAGGATACACCATCGAACAAATGTAATGATAAATTTTCATTCCTAGTGAAAAATAAGTTATTGTAAATGTATTATATCATACAGTGATAACTAATTGAGTGGTTCTCCTACCTTCGTTCTCTGAACAAGCTATTCAAAACAGGTTGATATGCACACAACGCAGTTTGACTTGTCTTCCCTGTTTACTTACTCAGCTTATATTATATCAATAATATGTGTTTAATGTTGCCGCTTGTACTATCTGGTTGTTGATTGGAACGACTCCATCGATCCTCGTTGATATGTGAGCTCCTGGATGGATGCCTGGGTACTGCCGATGTTTCAATCATATATCATTGATGGATAGTGGGTAAGCAGTGCTATTCAGGAAGCTCATTACGTCCTATTTGGCACCAGTACTCATTATTAAAAACTGTTTTGACAAATCTACTATGTCAGACAAATCACATTATATTCTAGCACAACGTACCTTAGAAAAAAGCATTTTCAGGCAATCCAATCAACACTCAGTCTCAGTAAGCCTCGTTTCCTACTGCATACCATATTCAACCAAAACCTTTCGAAATCTGTTACGTAGACTCAACAAACATATACATATATATATATATATATATATATATATATATATATATATATATAAGCACACAAATACACGTTGAACTTACGTTCTATGCTTGTCAGTAATAATCAGAAAAGGATGTCAGTTACATTTTATTGACCTTTAAAATGTTTACTCAATCTACTATTCATGTTCACTTGTACACCTCTACAAATGAACTCATTATAGAACTCTTCCTTAACTAAACATTTCTGTTCACATTGAAGTAAGAATATTTGGAAATAATGATTACGTTGACATTCTGTTAGATTTAAGACCTGTTTCATAGGTGAATGTCTTTGAACATGTCAGTCTACAAAATGTCAGTCGTAAGTGTAAAAAAAGGCAACTGAATAATCAGCTACACAAATCAGTTGGTCATTCAATAACTAGATCAAAATCTTAAGCCCATGAAAATACTCGAAATCTTCGATAAATCAAAATATCTTTGCTGGTGTTTTCATATGATCAAGTATGGTTCATATGACTCACATATGATGGTGTTATCTTTTTCCCAACATAACTATACCTCAGTTGAGATATGATGGGTTCAATCTCCTTCAAGTGAACACATTGAATATTCAAGATTCTATCTCATATTATCCATTTGGCTGTTTACAATAAAGCAAACCACCGTCGTCACTTCAGGATAAAGATATAACCAAGAGATGGAAACTAGTGAGTGAACAATAAACAATGTCCGATCTGCTGTTAGCATTCTATAGCTCACAGTTTTAAGGTGTTACCAAAGAGTCCCGCTATCTCGCTGCACTATGAATAATGTTGGCCGCATATATTGATATAGATATGAAGAATCCATTCTGGTCAAAATTTCCTTCATCTAGGAAAAATGCTGCCTTTATTTGATATTTCTAACATGGAACTTCGTTCTACCACGGTGATCGAATCTATTACTGACATAAGTGTCGTTGTGAACTGAATCCATAGACAAACAGAACGATCCAGGAATTAAGGTTACCAGAATATTCATTGATCCCAAGCAAAATATTGTAACTCAGTACTCTTTTAAAAAGAGATTAACAGAGATAACGATAATTTTCGAGGGTTTGAAAAGATTCTACACATTTAGAGATACGTTTTCACTATCCTTGACTTACATAGTGTTTATATTCAGAAACGACCAAGGCATTTCCGTAGCGTTGGTCGTTTGTGACAAAATCACCAGGTGAGCAGCAGAGAGGTTAGCTGAAGGATAGCAGGTGAGAAAGTTAAGTCAGTCGATGAGGTAGTAAACTTTCACTGAGGAAAATAGGTTGGACAGGTGTTGCGTATGCTAAACCACTGGCTACATCGAAGTTAAATGTGAGTTGGGTTGAAATAAAGCTAGCTGGTGGCGACTAGATCAAAAAGTGTTACCAGTAAATGACATCTGTGAAAGTTGGTCTGAGTCATGTAAGTAGGTAATGTTGACCACCTGACTGAGGATGTCATGATGACAGGAATCAATGTATGGGAACTTTTTATGGAAATGCATATATTCCTTGTCATCACATTCATCAATATTTTCATCAATTTTCATCTATTTATTCTACCGTAAAGTGTAGCCATTTAGACTGATGTACCATTGTGGCAGACCCTAAGTTGATCTGCCTGTCTGACCATCTATCCGCTTGTCTGCCTATCTATCTGTCTGTCTATCCACCTGTTTATCTGTCTGTCAACATGTCTCTTATATTCAGAAAAAAGAAATCTTTCGACTTTTTTATCCATCATCGATGTTTTACAACACTCAACTCCTCGTATTATCAATAATGTTATATAAAACAAAAGACTTCTGAGTAATATAGAAGAAGTTTTGAACAAGCCAATTAGGTTATTACATGATGTTGGACAGTGTAAGGTTGTTTAGAACTTAATAAAAGTGTAAAACTTTGGCACTGTGGTAGAATGTAATTCCATATAAGATTTGTTTATTTGATATATACAGCACAGTGATACAGTATTATTTACTTGATTACGTTTCGAGCATAAATTATTACAGCTCATAATCATATCAATGTAATCACACTTCTTTCGATATCTGATTTTATAGTCCTGTCACCTGATCTCTCTTTGTTTTTTTGATTGGTAAAGTTTTCCATATCTCTGGTATAGGTGTTGCGTCATTCTTGTTACATGTGTTGGGTGTGGATTCGATGAACAAAGATTCAGTAATTAATCTCTCTCTCCACCAAGCTATATTAGACTTAAGTACAGTGTTTTGTCCCACCCTATTGTGTGGTTGTGTGTTAATCGATGTAATGCATGGCCAAGTGTTTTTCTAGATTATTGATCTTATTGGGGTCTGCCGTTCTATGTTTAGCTAAATTTCTATGTTCTGCTAATCTAACTGACCCCGACCGGCTAGTTTGACCTATGTATTTGTCCTTACAGTCATTACATGGAATTCGGTAGATCATATTATTTTGCCTAATTTGTTCTATCGGATCTTTTAGCTGACAAAGCTTACCTCTAAGTGAGTTTGTTGGTTTAAATGCCACCCTAATTCCAACCTTGTCGAGAATCCTACGTGTGGTTTCTAATGTTCCTTCCTTGTATGGTATCACAATAGAGGTGTTGATTTCCTTTCTACTTATGTTGTCACTATTATTTGTATTTGTATTAAAGTTATTATTTTGCTTATTATGTGTCGTGTGAATTTTTTAATAAAATGATGGGGATAATTATTAATTATCAACGCTTCTTTTATGTGTTTCAATTCCTTTTTTAAGTCCTTACAATGACTAGTGAGTTTCTTAGCTCTGTTATTTAACAGAGTGCGCTACGTATCAAATAAACAAATCTAATATGGAATTGTTTAGAACTCGTTTTATAATAGTGCCACTATCTCTATCATCACTTTAATAGCTCTATTATTACTGTTATTATTATCATTATTATATTATTTACTATTATTATTATTATTATTATTATTATTATTATTATTATTATTATTATTATTATTA